AGTAACGACGAGAAAAAGAGGGAAGCACAAGGAGCTGTCCCGACTGGTGATTATTTACAGCACATACGAGTGCTAGATTGTTATTAAATGCAGAGCAGGTCCGATTTGGGTTGAGTGATAACGGAGGGCATCACCCGCAGATCCCCCTGCCCCACAAACTTCTCCGTAAGACTACTCAGTCTAGCGAGTACAAGCTCTACTATTCAGACATTTCTATAGTTCCCCATTTTGACCATACGAGATCCTACAGATACGCTCTCCTTCCTTCGGGTATCCACTGTATCCCAGGTATACCAGCATTAGCAGATGACCTTAGTTAGCTATAGCTATAACAAACCCGTCCCTGCTTTGATACACGTCGTATCCGGCGCCGTTAACAAGAGGTGCACCTTCGCGGCGTTCTATACTTTCAATAGGGCCTCAAAACACCTCTTATCGGCTCTGTACACCGGCTGAGCATGAGTCCGTACCACCACTCGCTAGATATACAAGCACCTGGCTCGAGGAGCCCGTACCCGTCAGAATTCAATCTCTTATCGCATGTGTACTCCAAAGCTCAAGAAAACGCCTCCCCCTAGATTTACTGCACCCGAATTCGAAAGACGTTACCAGGAAGGCTAGGCACCGCATCGAGCCATCACCTCAAGATTACATACAAAGTACAAGGTTTTCGCTGGGTGGATTAACGCTCACAAAGGTCCTCTTCCTATTATTGACCAGTGCCCGTATTTTATGCTATATACACCGGGAACTATATTCGAACTCTTTAACCTTTTTGTACCCAGGTACCTAGATGTGTATCGTAATAAATTAAAGAAAAAGAAAAAAAGACGTGCATCATGATTTCAATCATGAGTCATCACTCGATCTAACACTCCAATGGATTATCATTCCATCGATCGACTCACCGGTGCTTAAAACCTTTCCCAGTTAAACAATACTCTTTGGTCCATCAGATAGCACGTATATTCACTAAAAAGAAAATTAACCTACCAGAAACCCTAGCCCTTTCAATAGGTGGCCGGTCGTGTTTCTTCACCGTCTTCACTATCTATCAAAGAAGCTTCCGTATACTTCCGATACAGCTTAGTTACGTCCTGGTCTTGTGCGATTGTACTACATATATTCATAATAGGAGGAATAGGTTTCCGGGTGTCCGAGAGGCGCCACGAAACTCACGCTCCCCGAAAGTATTATCGGAAGAGGTCTAAAATGACACGGTTTTCGGGAGACGTGCTCTGAAACAACACATGATGCAATATGAGACGAATATTATGGATGGCTGAAAAGGGTTAGGGGTTCTGCTTCATCTTGGCACACTGCCAAGCTCAATTATCACTCCAGTGCAGAATCCACCATGGGCGAGTGGTCTAGTGGTTAGACTGCTCGTCGGGTTAGACACCGAGTGTTTACCCAGGACACACACAAGGTCCTGGGTTCAAACCAGGGGTGGGGGTAGCAACGCACAATTGGCAATAAGTCGTTGCAGTACCTTTTGTTCTTTTTTGTCTTTTATTTAAAAAATTTCAGTAAAATAAATTAGGAGGCTGTTTTGGTTTTCAATTTTTCTAGAGGAAGGGGCGGACTTTCTATTTTGATCATAGCTAACTGTGTCATTTTGCATCATGTGTTATTTCAGACCACGTATACCGAAAACTGTGTCATTTTAGACCTTTTCCAAAGTATATATATTATACATTCTCCCGTGTCGGTATTGTCCTGCAAATCATGCTCCTATTAATCAGCATGTAAAGCGCAACCAAGGCTAGAACCGAACGCCTCTCCGAGTATCTGCCAGCGCCAAATGGGGCTGTCCTACGGGTCATGCAGCGAAGGGCGGCGTGGGGGATTGGGAGTTGGACGGAGAGATGTACAGCAAAGACGGTAGGTGTTGATGATGTTGGGGGGGGGGGGGGGCGGGGGCGGAGTTTGTTACAAAGAGAGAGGGGCGGGGGCCGGCGAGGGGCTAGGAGAGTAGTCCTGTAAAGATTCTTGAAATAGTACGCTCAGCACATTTCATAGTATTGGAGGATTCTCATTTGTCATCATGAGTCACGGGTTTTGACTCATTCTTTCTCGGGTATTTATTAGTCATGTCTTTCTATTACTTATACGGTTATGATTCACTATGTTTTGTGTTACCTTTCTTTGGTATAAATATGGGGCATTCCCCCTCTCTAGTTAGTTGGAATAACACGCTCAATTACTACACTTCTCTACATACATTTCTCTAAAGATGGGGGAGAGGAGTTAGTCCGTGTGCAGGCTCCACCCGGAGGTAAGGTCTGGGGATCGCTCCTATCGTTCGAGACTCGCCGATGTTGGAGTCGTATCAGTAGTACACCTTTAGCTACATGTAACAATTAAGCATAGACCGAAGACCTCGTGTTGGGTTACGCGCACGTATTAGCAGCAGTAGAAGTGGCAATACAAATACAGTCAGATCTTGGTTGTAGAAAGCCGCAGCGCAGGTAGACCCACAGTAATGTAAAGAAAGACACAGGCTCCATGTTTGTGCCCCAGACTTATCGATTTAACGCCACTTTTAAGCCTTCCCCTTCATGAGCGTTGTTAAGACGGCATCTTCTTTAATTCCGGGAACAACCACCACCAAGAAACCCCCCCCGCGCGGGAGTTTACGTCATGGATTATCACTCGGCTACCACGCCCCAGGCACCAGACAAGCCTAGAGATGCGATAACCGTAAGATAGTAGGAGCGCAGAGAACATTCCGCGCGCAGGGATCTGTGTCTTTCGGCGTGCTGGTTGTTGGCGAGGGTCTTTAATTGTAGAATAGATCTAGAGACGCGCATCCACAAGCACCAGCTAGCACCAGGCCAGGGCCTATGCATGTTGGGCCGATAGAATGTGTACATATCTGAGTGGTCCGCGCGTTGGGTCTACTCTTGTTCTTGTGCTATAAATGAATTTTGCCTTCTATGATTTTTTTCCATTTTTCCCTTCCCCCCCCCCCCCTTTTTTTTTCGCGCTGGAGGACCTCGGAGTAGGTTGCATGCAATTAATGAATTAAACAAAAAGCCCCCCGGAGTAGCAGTCGGGGGGCTGGGGGCGTATCTCGTCAGGGTTAGGGTTTCTCATACTCGGAATCTCAAGGTTCTAGAAAATCAGATTGTAGTACAGTGTGTAACTACATGGAATCACACAGATGGAAAAATCTTTTTTAATCGCTTCGGGGGACTGCCACTGCCGTGAAGATATTTTTGTACTGTCTCCCCGAATAATTCACGGCTGGCCCCAGCACTCCAATGTTGGCAGCATGTTTCGCGGATGCCAAGATGTGGTGGGGGCTTTTGGGGTCAAGGTCTCAGCGTTCAGGTCTGGATGCAGGCCACATGTGTGTGTATCTGAAGCTTAAGGCTTGATCTTGACGGAGACGGGACACGAATCTAGAAGTATTAGGAGGAGTTGAGGACACATCCGTCTCAATGGGATCGAAGGAGATACTCCACGTACATCATATCTCTTCTATTTATTCCGATGCGTTTCATCCCTAGCTATCTTCTTCTTTTTTTTTTATATCTGCTTGGTCGGGTACCGTTGATAAGTATTTGGTGCAGAAAAAGGCGACAGGGGTGTACCTCTAATGCATCCCCCTTTAGAATACCATCAGGGACTTACGGCACAGCAGGGCGACTACATACTCGTGACAACGTCAGTTGTGCACCAGAAAAGCTTGCATGGCACCTAGGTTGTCCGCCACTGAGTAGTATTCACTTGGCATTCATTGCAAGGTCAGCCGTTGCGAGACATGTGTGTAAATATCTTGGGAGACGCATGTCTCTGAATGATTTTTTCGAATAGGGTTTGAGCGGACGACAGTACTGTGGGTATTTGGTAAGTCGAAGATTAAACATTCCCCCCCCCCCCCCCCCCCCCCCCGGAGAAATACAGTACTGCAGGATAGTTGGCAGATTGTACTTGATGATATAGATTCGAGTCACCATGCTTATACTCGTAGTTTCCTGGCGTTTTTGGACTGGGCCACTATTGCACACACCCAAAATCAGGGTCTTGGCGTATTTTTGTATGGTATGCAATATCAGTCGCGTTCAAAAACGTTAGGAAGTTACGAGTATTGAATCTACGCATGACTTTCCCCTTGCATTAATATATTGGCTACCCGTCTCAGAACGTAATCTCGCTAGAAGTCAAGCTTCATGCAACTCGACAGCTGCGGCTAGGCAGGTACTCTACAAGGATCAGCAGCACCCTGCCAAGTTCGAGCCGCAGGGCTGTGGAGTGGTTCAGTAGATACGCCACATTTCTACTTTAAGAAACTCTATTAATTGCCTACTAGATATTCCGCTGGTGTAGCAGCTTTCTCTGGCCAGTAGAGTATTATGGATTGTAAATCCACATACTCTAGCTAGAGACTCTAAGTAATCCTCATGACCAAAAATAAAAGAGTGGTCACACCCGCAATCTAACATGCAGGTTCGCTTCCCTCCCCCGCCCCGGTTACTCGGAAAAGCCCACCGGGCTACATGTAGCTAAGCTAGGATATCTGGAGCAGACGAAAAGTTGCCGAGAAAGCCGAAGAAGGATGTCTCGTCTCGTCTCGTCTCAAGCGATATGATATGATATGTAGGTATTTAGTATACAGATCCATATGACCACACCCACGAAGCACTTTTATGTACTCTACCCACTCACTCTACTAGTCCAGGACACCGCAATGTGCCGCGTCTTGAGAAGTCCACCGGATCTGAACCTGGACCAGCCCCCTCCCCCCCTCCCCCCCCCCCCGCCCTCCCCTGTGCCGCTGGAATGCCAATGGCACCACCACGATATTTATCTCCTTGAGGGGGGAAGGGGCAGAGTACGCGGCGTGTGTCTGTATATAAACTTGCTGTGTAGCCACTCAATCGATCCCTTCCAATTCCTCACCCTATTGCAAATTCCCCAGGCAGTCCACAAGAAAGAAGAATCACCACCAACTCACCCACCCCCACCTCCACCCCCAAAGAAATACTCCCAAAATGCGTTCTTCAACCCTCTACCTCGCCCTCATTGCCTGTGTGGCCTCCTCCGCCTCCGCAACCTATACTAACGGCGACGACTTCTTCAATGACCTCCCCACTTGTATCCAGAAGTGCAACTCGGTCATCATCGACAACGTGAAAGCACTGTGCGACAATTCCAGCAACAGCCTCCAGTGCATATGCACAGGAGTCGATGGCCCTAACGCGATCAACGAGACCGTCAGCAACGATGCGGCGGCATGCTCCCTGAAATGCTCAGAGGACGACCAGAACGCGCTCATGAAGCTTGGCTTGGACATGGCGTCGAGCTGCGTGCCATATCTCGATGGTGGTGCGTACACCACAACTACATACCCTTCCTTTTTCGCGCGCGATAACTAACAAGTGCTTTATGATCTACAGAAGACTCCTCAGACAACTCCACATCCTCCTCAATGTCCGGCACCGCAACGGCCACCAAGACCGCAGGCGCATCCTCCACCGGCGGCAGCATGAGCACCATGACTGCCACCGCCTCGGGCTCGGGCTCGGGCTCAGCGACACAGTCGCCGTCGAGCACGGCGTCTGGCGCGCCGGCTGCGACAGGCGCGGCCGGACAACTGGTGTTGGGTGGGGCGTTGTTGATCCCGGCGTTGCTGGCGGGATTGATGATCTAGGTTATATTCGGGGAGTGAGGGCGTGGTGTTTGGACTCGGTGTTAATGGCTTTTCGTTTTCTTGTGCTTTTCATGAAATTTATTTATTGGCTTTCTTTATTCCTAGCTCTTTGGCTTTATTTTCATGCCCGCACGACAGACGGACGCGTGGAGGCGTTGCTGCTGCTGCTGCTGCTGCTGCTGCTGCGTCAATGTATTTGTTTCTATGTTTCTCAGTAGCTATATTACCAAACTCTTTCCTGCCTGCTTGGCTGCTTGCACCGACCAATTGCAACCTCTCTACATTTCTGCATCCACAATTGATTCTCTCTGCAACCCTCGTGATCCCCTTTGCTTCACCCTAACGCGATCGGCCCACGCGCCCGTGGTGCTCCGTGCGCGGGTTGGGTTGGTTGACAAATGTCTAAGATTGCATGACGCAGGGGGCGGTGGGGGCGGGGGACAGGCAGCGACTGGGTAGAAGCGGAGCCAGGATGGGGAGCGAGTGATGGGGCGTGATCGATGGGCACAATAGTACACTACTTACTACTAATTAATTAATTAATAGGAATGCTACGTATATACGTCGAATCAACATATTTTCTATACCAGTGATGGCCGGGTGAGGGGATAAAATAAGTTCGGATGGCCGAGCGAATGCTTTCTCTGTGCCTTGCATACATAATGTGTGCCCTTACGTCGTTTATGAGATTTTGGCTTGACATGTGGGCAATAATATTGGATTTTCGGATCGGGTTGATCCATCTCTACTCTGGCATGTCTTGCCCTGACATAAAGCCCCGAGGACTGTAGTAGGTACATGTACTACGCATCTAGATCTAGACCTGACATGATCAAAACCGAGGACGTATCTAGAAATCCATAGAGCAGCAGCAAAACCAAGGAACACAAGAATACAATACCAAAAAAAAAAAAAAAAAAAATGGTATGGATTCGCTACGTTATAGAACACGTACGGCATTACTACGGTATTCTTTTTGCAATGCCGGTTTAATTCCATATTGTTCACTAAATCCCGTACTGATTTCACCCCGTCTTTTCGTACTGTAACCTAGTATGCACGTGTCCCATCTTACGAGATCTAGTTCAGACTCGTATGCGGTATCTGCTATACTATAGGAGAATCTGGCCTGAAAGAGTTTCGCTAAACCGGCCTACTCGAGAGCGATTTGTTCCGGGCGACTCGCAAATACCCTGGATTCGCCAATGGACTGCTTGCTCCATACATCGGGGACCGGTCCGGTCCATTGGCGAATGGACTGGATAAAGGGTAATGGAATTGGGTCTTTAAATTAACTCGAGAATAATCAAGACTCTACTGGAGCTCATAGGGCCCTAATAAGTGGTTGTAGAGGTCACTGAAGCTGATAGAGACCACAGGATACCACATATCAGGCGTCAATTGTTAATATTGAGATCTTAAGCTCGCTAAAGCTCATGAAGATGCTAATTATTTTTTTAGGTTGTAGAGATCATTCAGGATTGATATAAATTATTATTAGTTGTGAGTGATGAACTATTTGTCCTACTAAAACCACAGTATTCCCAGGCCATTCGCGAATAGATGGTCCAGCCACAGATGTATGAGCCTAGAAGTCCATTCGCGAATACCTCAAGTCCATTTGCGAATTTGTCAAGTCCATTCGCGAATCCGTCATGTCCGCCAACGGCCCGGAACAGATTGGCCAAACAGCCAGATCCCCAGCCAAAATAGCTACCACACGCCATATTCAATACTCCAGCACCAGCTCACTGTCCTCCGGGCCCAACAGGTATTGCACCAACTTCCTTACCACTTCGGCCGCAAGCTTCTTTTTCACCCCCGTCGCCGACCCCGCCTCCCACACATTCCACATCTCAAACGTCTCCAACCGCAGTTTCACATCCTCCTTCTTCTTCATATCGCTCACCACACTCCTCCAGTTACCGACCAGACAGATGCGGCGCATCGACAAATTCTTCATAGTGGTGTGATAACGCGCGCAGAGCTTGAGGAGGTTCACATCATAGATGCACAAGCCCTCCAGGTCAAACGTATGTATGGCCGAGAGCGGTGACTTGATTTCGAACGAGAGGTTAAAGCTTGGAGGCTGTATGGCTTCCGTAGAGGGATCTGGGCTGGCGTGTATGATCGCCAACTTCTCAATGCGCTCGAGGCGCCACAAATACTTCCGGACGGCAAGAAAGAATTTTGACTCGGCATTGCGGTGTCTGTGGGAGTTGATGGGCTCCACTGGTGGGTTGAAGCGGAAGCAGAGGGTCGTGATGTCCCTCATTACCAGCTGGAGACGCGTGAAGTCCAATTGATAAACGTGTCCAAACCGCGGGATGAACCCCGAACCCTCCAAATAGAGCGTCTTGATTGGTGTCCTAGTGTAGTCTAGGATACTAAAGAGCTTCCTGTATACCTGGATGCATGGTTCGATGACCCTGCTAGCGCTTTTAACACTTTTGGCGCCGTCTCCTGCAAGTTTTCTATTTCTCCCGGCCGAGTCTCAAGGGCATCCCGCACCAATATCTCCAACTGTCTATCCACCTTGAAGACACCCAACTGCAGATTCAGCGCCTCGAGGTTAGGCAGGTTCCGCACCGCCTCTCTGAGCATATTCTCGTGCTCTTTCGACACCAAGAAAGCGCGCTGCTCGGAGCACTTTCTATTGTTGTCGACCAGGAGCTGCAGCTCCTCCGCCGAGGCCTCCTGCCGGAGTATGATCTCCGTGTAATCGCCGCCGCCCCAGCGGTCGCCCCAGAGCTGGCCCTGCTTGTCCGGGGATACGTGCCCGTGGGGATCCCAATTGATGTCGACGATCGCCACGGCGGCGTCAGTGGGGTACTTGAATGTGCGGACCAGCGGGGCGAGTACTGGATCGCGCGAGATCTCAAGGAATCTTTGGAGGCCTACGAGGGAAGGCGGGGCGGAGACGTCGCGGTAGAGCTATTGCTTTGCGGTTTCGAGGTGGGCTGGGTGTACTAGGCACATGGAGAGTAGGTCCCGCGGGGGTAGGTAGGAGATTACCTGGCGGCATAGCTCGTAGGGAAGGTCCATGTTTGCAATGTGCAGTCTTTGGGCGGTGAGGTTCGATGAAGTCGTGTGGTTGGACACGGTAGTTGTCCCCTTGATTCTTGGCAAGCTTATTTGCAGCAGTATCACTGGTAGTGTAAGTAAGCATTTAATAGTTCGACACCTATGGCCCTGGAACCAGCGATTACCGCCAGAGGAAGATACTCAGTCCTATTTGCAATGAAATGGTAATATAGCCAGAGTGAGGCATGAATCCTGAGAGCTTTCGGCACAAAAGCTCATTCATGCCAGCAGCCAAGCCGTCAGCTCCAGAGCTTATATGTAGAGCTACAAACAAGCTCGATGTCACAGAACCAAGATGTCTTAAGAAAGCACTGAAACCCCCCACTGGGAATATATCGGGTTAGTTCTTATATAGAGCCGGCATGTACAGAAGAGTATATAGCTCTCCTGAGCCTGGCCCTAGATTTGATCGGAGGTGCACTCGAAAAATGCTACCCATCCAAAGTTAGTGCCAAGAGAGCAAGTGGTCTTAGCTTTGCTCACAGCTCTCCTTAAATTAAATTGATAGGAAGGACAGCTTCACCTCATTCCATCATAGGAAGAAGGAAGGTTTGAAATCTCCACGAAACCTCCCTCTTCTTCCCCCAGCCGCGGGATATTAGATAAAGCAGCTGTACAAGATCCAGAGCAAGAAAACAATAACCACACTAAAGCCGGTACGTATGTTAACAATAGAGAAGAGGAGGTAAAATAGATGAATATGATTGACGATTGTATCCATGTCAAGGAGACCTAGCTAGAGCTCTCTACTTAAGTTATCCCTAGCTCTTAGTGCGTCTATAGCTATGATACAGTAAATACACCTGCCTTTTGGCACGTGTCCTTACACGGTGCTATATGCTGTACGGTTAGGCACTTGACTTACTCCGGGAGCCGAATTGATCCCCTGAGTGCCTATTTCAAAGAATAAGCTCGCTAGATATCCTCCATCACCAAAACTACTCTTAATCCAACCCATTGCCCTCTATCAATTGCAACCCTGACCCTGAACCCGTCCTGCTACATTTAGCAAACACCTCACCCGCTACCAATACAGCCCTGACCCTAATTAAACCCGTCCCACTACATTTAGCAAACACTGGCCAAACACCCGCTCCCAATCCTCACCGGTCATCATTCCGTACCGTACGTTACCAATCCAACGCATCAAACCACCACCATCATCACCCGTTACCAATCGTCCATCAACATGAGTGATAATCGTACTGAATCATACCGTCAATGCCTCCGGGACATCAGAGGCCTGATGGCTCATTATCTTATCCCTAATACTCTCGGTTACAATCTCATGATTGCCCTTCTCGACGAAATTGAGAGCGTATATCTGCACAAACGGTCGGCCGCCATGTACCCCCAAGTGATATGTCAAGACTGATAAGAGATAATTACATATAGGGCTGTAGCTGCTGTACACCAACATGCTGCTGCTGCTGAGGATGCTAAGACCTTTGCCCCCGGTAACGCTTCCGGAAAGAGGAAGAAGTTATAGTCTCGTACCCATCTGCTACTTAGCAGTAGCAACCGCTGGAAAGATGGAAGTAGTTTGGGGGGGGGGGGGGGGGGGGTCTGGGGACGAGCCTAAGGAAGAGGGTACGGATTGAGTACCTACGTAGCTGCTACTGTTAACGTTGACCTTCGATTATGGGTGGTACACATGCGGATCGCGATGTCACGTATTAGTTTATTATAATACATCTATGTTTACAGGGGGCTAGGATTTATTTCCGGCTACTCTCACCGGCCTTCTATAGCTATCACACTTATCCCCAAGTTCTAGAATTCTTGTCTAACGTACATATCCAATTCCCAATTCCCGAATTCCCGGGTCCGCCTTAGGCAAATAAAAAAACACCCCGCCTAAGTAAAGTTGCTATTGCAATTGGGTTAGGGTTTAAGCTTTCTATTTAGTTGTTTTTCTTGTACAGTCACGTAGCCCCACATTCTTTTATACCAAAAAATTTAAAGGGTATGGATCCGCTACGTTATTTCCGTTAATGCGCTAGTAATGCAGCAAGAATACGGTAATATTACTACGGTACTCTTTCTTGTAATGCCGGCCTAATCCCGTATGTTAGTTACTTGTATTTAAACGTCCTATTTGGAACTATTAGACGAATCAGGCATTTTTAGTTACCGTCAGCACGATAGCAAAGTAAGCATTATCTTATCACTTTCATATCACCTGTCCACTAGTAAACACCCCCCCATCAGCAAACTACTTACAAGAACCCTAACCCTAACCCTAACCACATCCACATGTCAGAAAGCTTAGCCTGTCTTAAAAGCTTGACACCACACCCGCCCGCAGGACCCACCGGCCAGGGGTATACACCCCTCACCCCCCCAACCCCCACCCCCCCCCCCAATTGATACCAGTCATCCCTCCCTCAAGAGTCAAAAAAAACACTATGGCTCACACCCAACCGCCCACCCAATCAATTACTGCGAGCTCTAGAACTACAGCAGAATTAATTACCAAAGGCTGCCTGGCATATATATATATCGACTATAGCTACGGGGCTGCCTGCCAGATATACTGCGCGCCACCAGAGGACCGGGTTCACATCCTATTCCCTGCGTTATAATTATATATATACATGTACATGGCTGCCTTACGGGCGCGCGGCGACGGTTGTTTACAGGGCAGGTTCATCTGGCGGCAGTAGTATATATAGGCACCTCCGATCCCGGGCAGATTCGGTAAACAGGAACAGGAGCAGGAGCAGGAGCAGGGCAGATTCGATAGGTGGTGTGGATGGGGGTAGCAGTGTACCTACATGTATTCCTAGTAGAAGCCCAGAAGCCCAGAAGCACAGCAGCACATGTTAAAACACACACACACACACACACACACACACACACACACACGAGATCGAAGCCAAGCCCTCCTCCCATCCCCATCCCCATCCCCATCCATCCCGGCCCCCCCCTGCGCCTCAAGCATAAGTCAGGTACCAGCTTACCTTACCTTGCACCACCCTACCACTATCTCCGCTATCTAATTATACCATTTTCCCACCCTCCAACTAGAGTACCTGGCCGGCACTACATATATACACAGGCCCCCCCAAGCCACCCCCGGATCTCACTCGTCCAAGACAATCACACACACTTGCGCATTCATACGCCCAGGACAACCCACGCAGCTACCAAGACGGCATTCACTCATCTAAACGGCATTCACTCAGCTAAACGGTCAAGATAACGACAGCTATGCAGTACGCAGCAGGACACGCGGTCACCAAGAAGCCCAGCAGAAGTCAAGAAGGCCAAGAGAAGCCCAGAAGAAGCCCCCAAGAGAAGCACAAGAGAAGCCAAGAAGAAGCCCAGTAAAAACCCCCAAAGAATCCCAGAACAGAAGAACAAAAGAACCGCAAAGCAAATCAAGGGCTCATTATCATTACTCGTAATTACCCTCTTCCCCACTCCCCACCACCCACCCCCACTCCCCACCAGCCCGCCCAACCAACCAAGCCTTACAACCCAACCACTCCTGCCGGCCCGCCCAATCCTTCCACAGAACACTAGCAAACAAGTAGTAAACAAGTAGAAAGTATAAAGTAAATAGTAAGTAGATAGCAACAACAGCAGCAGCCGCCCGATCGACCCGTCCCGCCCCAGATAGCTAGTAGTAATAGAACAACCCGACCCGACCCGATCCAACCGCCCAACCAACCAACCGACCGCACCGCACCGCACCGCACCACCGACCGCACCCAATCACCGCACCGTAGCTAAAAGCACAAGTAGACACAAGTAAAAACAAAACAAAATAAAAGAGAACTCCATCATTATCATCACATAGAAACCGCACCGCTCCCAAGACACGAAAGAGCCCTACACAAAAGAGACCACACCAAAGAAAGAAAGAAAGAGGGAAAAAAAATAAGCATAAAAAGATGGCGCCAAAACCAAATAAAAAAAAAACCAAATAAAAGCCGAAAAAAACTATAACCGCGGGCGAACTAACTGCTACGGCCTACACCACACCCCCTTCTCCTCCGCGCCCTCCTCCGTGCCACCGTAATACCCCTCCTCCCTCAGCTTCCCCTCCACGCCCGCCCAATACGCCCACTTCCCCGCATCCCCCGTCTTCAGATCCAAATCGCCAATCCGCGCCTCCACACCGCCCCCCTCCCCCTCCCCCCTATCCAAATCGATCCTCAAAAACACCGTCAAATCCCTCACCGTCATCGCACTCACAAACCGCTCCCTCACCTCCCTGCCCATCCCCTGCACCGCCACCGGCCCATGCGGGTCCAGCTCCGCATGCAGCTTCTTCAGCTCCACCATCAGATCCCCCTCCAGCACATACCGCACAATGCGGTCCGCAATCACCCCCTGCGTGGCCGCCCACGACACGCCCGCCGCCAGCACAAGGTTCGCCGGCTGCTTGGCGGGAACGATGTAGGCCACCGCGCGGCGCACGCGCGCCTCGTCGCCCGACGCCAGGTCGAGCGGGCAGAAGCCGCGCTTCTGCTGCTTCGAGAGGCGGAGCGCGCAGGTACGGCAGCGGCGCCAGCCGTCGGGCGCCGAGCGCGACTGAAGCACCCATTTCGGCTTGAACTCGATGAGGAGCTGCCGTGTGCGCTGTGCGTGGGCGGGGAGCGACAGGTCCGGGTCGCTGCTCCGCTTTGACCTGCGGCCGGGGAGGTAGGATAGCGCGCGGGCGAAGAGGGATGGTGATGAGGGGGGTGTGGGGAGCGGGTGCGGGGACATGTCGGTGATGAGGAAGCCGAACTGCTCGTCGACCTCTTCGAGGTAGAGGCCGGCGCGCTTGGCGGGGCGCTTGTCGGCTGCCTCGAGGGCGTGGAGGGCGATGTTTTCGCGGGCGAGGAGGGACGGCGGGATGCGGATGAGGGAGGTGGGGAGGAGGAGGTGGGAGGGGAAGAGGGGGTGGAAGGTGTGCAGGAGGTGGGCGTAGGCTAGTTTGTTGGGCTGCGCGCTGGGGAGGGCTTTGCGCAGACGGAGGAGCTGGTTGGGGTATTGGGGGGCCCCCGGGGGAGAGGAGAGGCGGTAGATTACGTTGGCCGCGCCTTCGGCTAGGTAGCTGAGGTTTGTGGTGGGCGGGAGGGTGGGGACGTGGTTGAGGTCGTCGTGGGCCGTGGCGGCAACGATAACGGAGGTGGTGGTGGAGGTCATGGCGGATGATTCGTTGCGGTGGTGGTGGTGGGGGGAATCGTTGTTGTTATTGGTGTTGGTGTTGGTGTTTAAAATATGGTATTGTTCAATGATGTGGGACTTCTCGCTAGATGACGGTGGTGGTGATGATTGTGATGTAGATGATGATGATGATGATGATGGTGATGATGATGATGATGATGGGATAGCAGAATAGAATGAATGGTCAAGCGAAGCAAGAGAAGGAAGAGAAGAGGAAGAGGAAGAAGAGGAAGAAGGAGGGGCAGGAGTAGACGAAGGGGGGGAAGGAAGAGAAGAAGAAGAAGAAAGAGAAGAAAGAGAAGAAAGAGAAAGAGAAGAAAGAGAAAGAGAAGAAGAAGAAGCAAGTCTCCCGCTATTACCACCACCACGACTAATACAACTGCCACTAAGCGCAGACTGTTCCGAAGCTAGTAAGGCCGTCGTCGTGCTGCTGCTGCTCCAAAGGACGGGCAGTAGCGCGGATAGAATAAGAACGGCAAGGGGAAGCACGATGATGATGACAGGGCTTAGCCTCAGGCGAGGAGGGGGAGGAGCGGAGGATGAGGAGGAGGGGGAGTGCGGGTCATTACATGTGGGATTGGAATTAGGATTACACGATGATGTAGTAGTAGTATTAGTATTAGTATTCTTAGCACTCGCGAGGGCAGTAGAATGGGCGGTACTGCTGCTGCTGCTACTGCGATCATCACTGCTACGAGGGCCTGTATTCGCGGTAGCAGGTGACCTTGGCGGGGGAACGCGTTGATCTGGCATGGCGGAGTGTTTTACCTGGTTGTGCATGCAGTGCAAGAGATGGGTGCGAGGGCGAGGGCGAGGGTGAGTGGGTGTGTGTGAGTGTGTGGGTGTGTGAGTGTGTGGGTGTGGGTGTGTGAGTGTGGGTGGGTGTGTGCTACCCCCTCCCTCCTGTGTAGGTAGAGTAAGTAGGAGTGTCTGTGTATCTCCACGCAAGGATGGAGGTGAGTGAGTGAGTGAGTGAGTGAGTGAGTGTGTCTCTCTCTCTAGTATCTACCCCCCTCCCCCCCCCCCCGCTCCCACTCCCCCCTCCCCCCTCCCCCCTCCCCCCACCGCCCACCCCTCCCCTCCTCGCTCTCCTCCACTCACTCCTCCGCGCTCGGACACGGAGGCCTCTCCGTCACCCAAACCCTTGTCTCGCTAACGCAATACCAAGCCCACTAGTGCCGGGACAAGCACACGCTAGAAGAGCTTGTTTTCCACCATCCCCCCAACTCCATCCCCCAGGGTCCCCCCCCCCCTTTCCCATCATTATATACATGTATGAATCCCATCATTCCCATCAACCTCCATATCGCCCTTTACAAATCTAAGCAAAAGGGCAAAGATAAAAATAAAAATAAAAACTACACCCTCTTCACGTGCGTTATGCCCCCATTCAACCACGCCCCCGCTCAATCATGCACCCCAACCAGCCAACCAACCGGTGAAGGGCCAAAAAACGATGCGAGATGAACGTCTCAATCCCTCACATCCCATTAGGCACCTTCGCCGATTGGTGCCTGTTGGTGGTGTGGATAGAGTTTGCGACCTGACTGGGTGCCTAGATCATGCCTAGACTCGATCAACCGTCCCCATGCACAGCCCTAACCCTGCAAACCGCGGGAGACTGTACCACGGGAACGGGAAAACAGGATGGTGATTATGATGATGATGATGATGATGCAGGGTGACTTTCCTCACAGCTTGTTCCCTGTTGCATACAGACAGGCGATACGATACGATACCTCGCCGTTCTGACACGATCGCACATCTAGAAACCTACCAATCCGTGTTTCTCATCCAAGCCCTTTTTTGCTTGCTTTTCCTGCTCAGCTCTCTATCTACATCTCTATCCTGCGCTTGATTGATTAATTTGGGGCAGGTCGACCGGAGAGAAGGTATGTGATAGCTGTCAGCTCGTCGACCGTCGACCGTCGTTTACCAGATTTGTTTCACCTCACTGACGGCATGGAGGAAGCCGTTCCGAGACAGCCAGATAATCGTATCATCTGGTACCGGTACCGGTGAACAAAAGCCCTAACCCTCCCTTTTACAGAATTGAAACCAGAACACACCGGTGGTGGCAGGTTTTGACGGCCAATTGGACTGTATGGACTGTACTCTACTGTCAATCAATACCACTCCCCGCCTTGGTGGCCATTCCATTCCAGTTCTTAGGACTGAATCAAGTTCTGGCCGGTACTCTACAGCGCTAGCGCCCGCCTCACAAATTGGGTTGATTACGTATCTCCCTCCGGCATATATTACCCAGTTCTCGGGAGTCTTTGCAGTCGTACACGCGGTTGTAATTGCTTGTCCTGGTAGTTTTGGTTGTTTATCTCAAAAGTGCTATCATCATATTACCCTAACCCTGATATTTATCGAGCCCTACACCCCCGAAACTCATTAGCAACCGAGTTTCACCTGCAATTGCAGCTTACCACTCATTTTTACAATCCCGTATCCTAGGAAAGAAACGCCGACACTTGTTCGCGGAGGAATAATAACACCTGGCAGTAGATACAGATGATGAGTGATCGGCGAGAGATTGATTATCAAGATGAACCCGAGGAAATCAAGCACTAGCCGCCCGCACAAAACTGTCAGCATTTCCTGTCAGCTATAGCTTAATTAAGCGTCAACGCCCCCCTAAAAGCGGGGCCATATATGCAAGAAAGAGTAGAGGTACCTTAATTTCGTGACAGGTAAGCTATAAAAAGCAGCCCTCGGTACGTTCGGTAGACTAAGACCTCTGCTGAAGCCTATAACAGAGCATAAAGTGTAGCGAATAACTGCATGTACATAGCTGTTGTATTGATGACGAGGAGAAGAGGAGAACTCTCGCTCCTCTCAGACTAATAAACAAAAATTCAAGCCACCTAACAATGACAAGGAGACCATGTAGCCTCATCTATTACGACAAATACGAACTAGGGTTAGGGGTAGGTCCCGAAGACCCCCCAAGGGTCATATTTCCTACATGTAGTCCAATAACCTTTTCTTCACCTCCTCGTCCCGAGCTCCGTATAATACATGAGTAGAAGCCAGACCGCAATCCCCGCACCCCATTGCGCCAAAAACCCTCCTTTCCCATTAACCACCCCTCACAAATAAGCTTTACTCGGCACACGTCCAGCAAACGTTATTCAAAACCCCAACCCCTCGCCGGGAAGTAAAAGCCAGTACACACACCGGCCCGATCGAGTCCGCCCTAACTGTACTACACTTAACAACCCCATGCAGCTCAGTAGAACACCAAACCTCAGCCCTCTCCACTGCAATATCTACACTCCCTTTGCGCCGCCAATTAGCCCATAAACCCGTCCCATAAGCCGGACGCCGTGATACGATGGCTGGCTCCCGCGCGCTCCCGTTATGCCACATTGCCGTCCCGCACGTGACCTACATAAGTAATCACAGTCCACGCCGAGGATGAAGTACGTGGATACCGGAACAGAGATGCGGGGGGATGGGCGGGAGTGAACAGCCGACTAACTGCACCAGAGCACCCGTTTAGAGCTCGTATAGTACAGTAGCAGTATTGCCCCAAAAACAGAACTACACTCCCGTCGTCCCAGTCTATCAATACCCTCCCCCCCCCCCCCCCTTGCCAACTATAAAATAGGTTTATACAACTCTGCGGGAGATCCATTATCTATCAGGAAGCTAACGGAGCCACCAACAATATGAGAAGAAGCTCAGACAGGTATCGTAACCTCTGGATTAGAAGGCTACTGTAGCTATTCAAGCTCTCGTAGTCATTTGGTCTAGGGTGCATGTGGTCGGCATTTACAAATATCGGCATATGGTGAACTCTGGGTCTGGATAGCTGGCTGTAGGCAATACGCATTCGTGATACCGAAAGGCGTTGGTAAGCCGGCATGTACTACATCTGAACTAGCTGAGGGTAGAAGAAAGCAACAAAAGACACAGTCGGGAGTGAATCCTAGGTATTAACGTAGTTAAAATTCGAACAAAAGGCACGCGACAATCACCTTAATCACCACACATCACTCGGTGCTCCCTTGGTTGCACCCGAACCCGCAGATCTCGCCCATGCGCACGGCAATCTCCGAAGACCCCAGATTACCCCACTCCTCCTCCACGGCAGCTTGCCGAGTACCTAGTGCGCCCAGGGTGTAGAGCTCTCTGTTCAGGCTGCTCTCACTGCTCTGTCAGTACGCGCGCGCACACATCTCCCCACTCTTGGTGTCCGCGAATTGTGCAAGTATTTATTGATCGCTGTATAACTATCTTCCTCTATATTACCTTTCTTGTGAATTATAATATACTGCACTACCTACGAAATCCTACAGCGTCAGATATGAAGCTCACCACACACATCCTCAGGTCCCTCCGCGCCCGCCCGCTTACAGCTCTGCGGAGCTCAAGCTCCAGAACCCTCCTCACACAGAGCCATTACCGAGGTGCATCCGAGGTACGAGAACCTCCTAGCTCCCAGCGCTCGCTGGAGTGAGCATTGCTGATAGAAACGTATACAGCCCCCGCTATTACAGCAAACAATTGGAAGCCACATCGCCAGTGTCGCATCTAAATACGGTGATTCGCCAGCGTTTGCCCTCCTCTCCTGACCACTGTGTATATATGCTGGCCTTTGAAATGCTGAGTTATCTGTGTGTTCAGCGTGATATCAAAGCACCAGAACATCAGACTCTCGTATGACGATCTCCACACACAGTCGACGGCGCTTGCGCATGGTCTTGCGGGCATTGGCGTGAAGAAGGGAGACCGCGTTGCGGTCTCGCTGGGAAATAATGTCGAGTTTGCGATTGCGACGTATGCAGTGTTCAAGCTTGGTGCTATACTGGTGAAGCTCAGACCAAAGCTATTGATGATGCGCCCTGGATTGGTATTTCTAACTTTGTAGAAAAGGTTCCTTTAAACCCGTCGTTCAATTCCAACCAGGTTGTTGCAGCATTGGATCATCTTGATACCGCGCACCTGATAATCTCACTAGAAACAAATCTCCCCCGGAAACCGCCGAGGTCGAATGTACCGCTGTTCCAACAGCTCTTTCCGTCGTTGGAGACATCCATTGAGTCGGAGCTTGTGCCGTCGCTCAAGAATGTTCTTATGGTTGATAATTCGTATGGACGGATTGACCCATCGAGGTTTAAGGCGTTCAAGGTGTTTCAAAATACTCTTGAAGACGGCACTGGTCGTGGTGCTTTGAGCGAGGAGGGATTAGACCCGAATGATATAGTAAACATTCAGTTCACTAGCGGGTGCGTTTTTCAAGCCATTAGTTACTTTACTGCGTTTGCTTATGTGGTGAGAACTTAAGTACAACTTCGATGCCGAAAGCGGCGTGTTTGACCCATATTGGGATTCTGAATAATGGTAATAGTATTGGTGACCGTATGTTACTCACAAATAAGGATATCGTGTGCTGCCCGCCACCGTTATTCCAGTAAGTAAACAACCCGCCATATAGACCCGAAAGGGATGCTTATGGGATCCAGCTGTTTCGGATGTGTCTTAGGCTACATGGCGACCGCTACTCATGGTAATCCCCACTCTCCTCCAGCACATAGGCCCATCTAAAGCAATTCGAATCCAGGCTCGGCAATCGTATTCCCATCGGAATCCTTCAACCCTCTCCTGACGCTCAAAGCAGTCCAAGAAGAGAAGTGCACTGCCCTCTATGGTGTCCCAACTATGTTTACAGCGGAACTGGAGCTTCTGCAGAGTGGCGCGGTGCCATACGAAGGATTTCAATATCTCCGAACCGGTATAGCTGCCGGGAGCAGCATTCCAGCAGAGCTGATGAAGAAGTTGCACTCGACGCTGAACTTGACAGAATTGAGTATGTATCGCCTCTCCAGCGAACAGCTCGATATCATGCTGATTTGGCGATGTGGTACGCAGCAATATGCTATGGGTGAGGGGCTCCCTTCGCCGGGATGTGGAAGGTTTTCTAAAGGGAACTGTAGAATGACAGAGACATCACCGGTTTCTGCGATGACGACGACAGACGACCCGCTAGTCAAGCGTGTCGACAGTGTTGGGCGGCTACTCCCTCATGTTGAGTATGTTTGTATCGCTACGTCCATTTATTAGCGGGGATAATAACTAAAGTCTCACAGGGCAAAGATAGTGTCTGCAACTGACCGCAATAAGATACTCCCAATAGGAGAGAAGGGCGAGCTTGTAGTATCAGGTTATCTTGTGCAAAAGGGCTACTGGAATGATCCCGTTCGAACTGCGGAAGTGATGATGCAAGATGAGAAGGGGAATGTCTGGATGCACGCAAGTCTCCCCGCTTTTTTTTTTAATGTTGGTTAACAGCGAGCCGCCAACTAATTTGAGGTTGACTCTAGACGGGAGACGAGGCTGAGATGGACGAGGAGGGTTACATCAAAGTAAGCGGTCTCTCGTCGTCTCATCATGTGGTTTATCATCATAGTCCTAACGTAGCGGCACTAGATCACGGGAAGATTAAAGGACCTCATAATCCGGGGCGGCGAGAATATTGTACGGCTTCTCCTAGATCTCCTCATAATTTTACTAGCACCACTAACGAGGAATCCGAACAGCATCCTGTGGAGATTGAAAACTGCCTTCTTTCCCACCCCTCCGTTATTGAAGCCTCAGTCGTAGGTCTGAAAGACGAGAGGTACGGCGAGGTAGTTGCTGTATTTGTCAGGAAAGATGAATCCAAAGATATCACACCTGATGAGGTGAGGGACTGGGTTAGAGAGAAGCTGTCCCACCATCTAGGTTCGTGCTCTCTTGCGTTAATATCTGATATAATGACTTGGTATGATGCTGATCCGGCGGGGATTTAGTGCCGAAGTATGTATTCTTTGTAGATGGGTATCCGAAGACAGCCAGCGGGAAGATTCAGAAGTTTGTACTGCAGGAAATGGGCGCTCAATTGGTTCTCGAGCAGCAGAAGGTCAAGGCATAATAGGATGGAGGATGAAGGGAGACGCTTTACATCTATCGTACATGTAGTGTTAATTACATGTACGTGCGTGCACTCACGGGAGTAATGTAGTTGTAACTAGTACATGTACCTACGTATGTATTTGCATAACTTCTCGAGTTTATGCCTTTCGGCTTAATTGCCTCCCTTGAATTAATCGTATCTTCCGATGCTCCAACCTCTTCTTGAAGATTGCTAGTTGCCCCGTTCTTTTCTTGTAGTCTGCTGGAGTTAATTGCTGTACATTACAAGATCACTCTTCGGTCTCGTTGATTGCATAGCAGGGTTAGGGTTTAAAAGTATATGTACCTACATCTGCTGACTAAAATACATGCAGCAGGATCCGGGTCTGATCTCTGGCGAATGCCAAACCAGAGTATGTATGTGTGCAAGATCATATTGCTGTTTCAACCGGTATGTCATCCGGCTATTTAATGAAGGCGTGGCTCGAATACTAGTAGGTATTCCCTTTAATTTACTGGACCAGAAGGTTGATTATATAATTACACCTTCAGTTCAGAGTTCTTAGATTGCAATTGGTCGGAGAGGAAACAAGGCTGTGAGCTTTCACTTCCCCGCCCCCATCACAGAAGGCAACATCTTTTCTTTAGCAACCAAAGTTTATCTATCTATCCCAGCATTTCTCTCACCATCAAGCTTTTGAACGCTTCTAGCTATGGCACTCGAAACTTTTGGGCTCGCCGTGAACATTCTTTCTCTGATACAGTTCACCGGAAAGCTGACCGCAATGGGTTACGACTACATAGGGGGGGTAGCCCGGGCATCGAAGGATTGCAACGACCTTGTTTATGAGCTCAGCTCACTCGCTAGGGTTCTCACAAACCTTCAGAGCCATATAGAAACATCCGGGACTCAAACTTCAGCAATCCAACAGCTCAACGAGGCAGGTGGGCCTATCGAGAGTTGCACTAAGCATCTCACGGAGCTTCGGGCAAAATTGGGAACTAGAGATGGACTCAAGGGATTGATAGACAGCCTAACATGGCCTTTGAAAGAAGCGGAAACACTGCAGCATATTGCGAGGATAGAACGATATAAAAGTGCGTTCGCCTTTGCAATGAGCGTAGATCAATTGTATGTAGACCAAAATACTGGGATATTACGCTTATATATGATATGCGCTTAATGAGGGATTATGCTAACAAGGGTATAGAGCCCTCGCAAAATCAATTAAAGCGGATATCCGGTCTATTGATAATGTTGTTCAGAGAACAGACAACGTTGCTCGGGATAGCAGGCGTGTGGTCTATGAAACAAAACATGTTGCAAACATCATTGTTAGCACTACCCAGAGTACAAACACTGTCACTCATGACACAAACGCCACACTGCATAGTCTCCAGCATAGGATCAAATCAGATTCAGAAATAAGGGAGGAGAGACTTTTATGTAGGAGGACTATCTCTCTTATATGGTTGTACCTATACCTACTGAATCGATGTTTTTGTAAATTTAGTAGAGAAGCGCGAGAAGGCTCTGAAATGGCTATACCCGGATGCATTTGATAACAGGCATACGGAAATTACCAATAAGAGACAGAAGGACACAGGTGACTGGGTCCTTCAGCTCCCAGGTTTCCAGGGGTGGATTAAGCAGGATTCTAACTCCAATAAGCTTTGTGCTTATGGCATACGTAGGCATCAATTATCTCTTCAGGATTATTACAAACTAATAGATCTGAGAAATACAGCGGGGGCTGGGAAAACATTCATAAGGTATGCATTTCAAACTCAATATATACGACTATGGCTCAATACTTGGATTTATTTGTTCTAGTTCCTTTGTGATAGACCATCTCGAGGCTCTTTCGCAGAAAGAGAGCTATGCCGTTGCATATATATATTTCGATTACAATGAACAAACTCGACAAACCCCCGAAAATGTTTTTGCAAGCCTCATAAAGCAACTTGCCTGCCGGCTGCCATATCTCCCCCTGAAAATTGGGGAATTGTATGATGATCTTCACATGAAAACCAAAAGACCCACGTTGGACGATCTTTACACGACTCTCGAAGAGCTTCAAAGACAATTTCCACGAATATTCCTCATATTCGACGCACTAGATGAATGTCACGAGGAAGATCAACGAAAAGTATTACTTCCTTTATTTCAGCGCCTGGGAACGGAGAGTGGTATAAAACTTTTTTTCACCAGTAGACCATACCCGGAAGATATTAAGGATAGTTTCCTTGATGCAGAAAAAATTGAAATTTATGCACAGGAAGGGGATATCAAGAAATTCATTGAAGAAAAGATCAACGGAAATCGAAGGGCACGGCGTCTTATCGAGAAGAGCAAATGCAAGGAAAGAATTATAAACCAACTTTGCAAATGCGCAGAAGGAATGTAAGTGATCTGTACCAGTATTAGAGCTCCTGTATCATCTTTTATTGATCAGAATACAGGTTCCTGCTCGTCCGATTTCATATTGAATACCTATGTCAACAGACTTCCCCCAATCAAATCATTGCAGCAATCGACAAGATAGAAACTTCTACCACGGGCATGAAGCCTCTAAACCCGACATATGATAGGGTCATTCGAGAAATTAACCGACAGAACAAAGATGTTATTGACTTGGCCCTAAGGGTTTTCTCGTGGTTGCTTAAAGCTAGAAGGGTTCTGACGGTCGAGGAAATCAAAATAGCCGTTTCAGTACAACCTGGCCGGTATGAGCTTGATGAACTGGATTTACCCGATAGGCCCACTTTACTCGAGGTCTGTGGTGGTTTGGTCACTATCGATGAGGATACAGATACTGTTCGGTTTGCGCATTACACTGTTCAAGAGTTCCTTGTGGAGAAATCTATCGCCATTGACACGGGGCCAAATATCGCTGTGGTTTGTGGTACTTATCTTTGCTTCGATAAACTCGGCATGGTCCATTCAATACGACCCTATAGACGTAGGTCATATAGACATATAAATAAGACCGTCGCGAAGGAAGTCTATCGGTCGAATCCGTTCCTAGCTTATGCGGCAGTATATTTTCGAGACCATTTGCACGACTGTAACGAAGATCAATCCGCAGAGTGCATCCTTAAGCTTGTCCAAGATAGAAAGTTAGCGGGTGTGATGATACAATGCCACATAGAATTATGTGGCCCTAAAAGTGATTACTACAGCTCTGAATTCAGAGATTTATGGCCCCACCAGTACCTGTTTTCAAATATCGACCTTTCACTACATCTAGCATGTAGTTTCGGAAACAGAATAGCTTTGCGGAAGCTTATTGACAGTGGATATAATATATTCCACGCGCAACCTACTGCCGGATATACATCCTCTCCCTTACACTACGCTGCAAGATTTGGTCACGTGGAATTGATACAATTTCTCCTTGAGATAGGAGCCGACATAAAATCTGTCAACTGGTACAGAGATACAGTCCTGCACTGCGCAATCAGCTCCAACAGTGAGAGGACGATCCAGATACTTATCGATAATGGTGTCGATATCAATGCCGCAAACAATGAAGGAAAGACAGCATTAGACCTAGCAGGCATATACGAAAAAGAGATATCGGTCCGGACGCTTATAAAACACGTACAGTAGGGCCGCGTTTTGGGTTAGTCGAGGGGAAGCTTGTCGGTGGTTCACTTGACAGTCAGGCAGCATTCAGCCTCTCTGCTTGACTCAAAAAGAAATATAATTGAGGTTTATATCATTGCTCAAGTAACTTGATAGCGAGCGCTACGTCGTGTTTATTATTTATATTCTCTTTTTCTTTTTTCTTTTTTCTTTTTAAAAAAAAGGCATCCCAGTTATAGTGGAAGATACTTTATAAACGTTCCTCATGTTTTCTTTCTCTCTTTCTTTTTTTTTTTTTACCTTAGTTCACGGCCAGGAAGCCAGGAATTAGACACACATTATACACCCTACTTCCACCGAACCTGGCCAGTCCCATTCGCCTACGACATGTATACACGACACACGACCGTCATGCAGACCGGATATTTGACACAAGTTGAGCACTGATCCAAAGTTCCATAGCTCCAAATAGAGAGATAAGGAGCAAGGAAGCCATGTCGAACTTTCTCGAGTGCTAGGAGACATGGGGCCATATAGTTTGAATTACTTCTAGGAGTCTTTTTTTTTTTTTTTTTTTTGTTTGACTTAGGCCGCTTGGGATATGATTTGGATGTTTGATTGAGGGGGAATTCCGACATTGAGTTTAGTTTGTTTCTTGATAAGAGACATGGGTACTTCACTTTTGATCAGTTTTCTGCGCCTTCTTTGATTGCATCAGCTCATCAACCATCATCAACTATTCTAAATCGTTGTTGGAAGCGAACATTAGTTCAAGTCTCTACCGTTCATGGTCAGGACAATATATCTTCACGAGATGATCATTTCCTACACGACTAATTATCTCCGCTTCTCTAGCAACAGTGAGTATCATTTCCCTTTGACCAACCCATCGGAAATTCTACGGTGATCTATCGCGTAGCTAGCCAAACCCAAACCACCGGCTGTACTAGCTATGTAGGTGCATGAGTATTTCCTATGTATAAAAATCCGCATCATGTATTAAAACAAGAGGGCGTGGAAATGAGACTCCCGAGTATAAATTAATAAACATGCCAAATTTGAACTCCGCAGCTAGTTATCCAGACGGGATGCTAAGAGAATCGGTGCAATATCAACCTACAAACATGGTAGCAGCCTGGTGTTGTTGGGGGAAACATATGGGCAATACCGCGATAGCTAGTCGTTGACCTTCAGGTGAGACCACCTTAATTAGTAGAGCTTCCTATCTCGTCAAGATCTACGCGATGATAGGTTAAGCGCGTGGAGTCAAAAAACGTGGAAATGACGATTTCGCACCTCTAATGTCGTAGATAGGCTAAAAACAGAAACGGGGCGAGTTGTAGATCTTGTCGCGTTGTGGTAATTATTAGGGAGTCGGATCCAACAACACTGCAAACAAACAACATAAACAAGTGGGTGAGTGACGGAAATTGGGGTTTCTATAAGAAAGAGATTATCGCACTATCGTGAGTGTTGTGTTTCCAGATGGGGTATTTTCCGGCTGGCTGTGTCTTGGGCCGTACGTTGGTTGGTGACATTTGCAGGAACTGTTGCGTGTCTTGTCTTGCCTTGTCTCGTGCCTGTAGCTACGCGACACTCTGTAGGGCTGCGAGTAGGGTGCCAGTAAGTGTCTACTGCTGTCCTTTCGGTTCAACGGCATCCCGCCTCTAAATCCACATCTTCCATTTGAATTCATCTATTGAGACATCTAAGGAGTCATCCGTTCATACTAGTTTCTTCTACACTGTTTCTATAGCATCATCACATCCCTCTATTCACTGTTTCAAACAGTATTTGCTTCGCCATTGGCCTATGGATGAACCGTTTGCTGAGGGAAGCATCCACGAGCGGATCAACTCTACTTTTGTTTCAATCACTTCCGCGGGTTAAATCAACGGGTTGAATGATCCAGCTGCCTTTGATTCCTTCTTTCTCTCCCGGTACTTTACTCATCCGAAGATGGATGTGTTCTTGTGCATCGATCCATCCGGCAGAGATCAGGACTCGTGGGGGCCACCGTGCCGTACGGATAGCAGTGTCTTCTGTAGCGGGACCACCCCATGGGTCGAAAGAAAAGCACTCCACACTCCCGCTCTCTACCGATGATGTCGGTTCCCTTAGGAAAATCCTACTACCGGGCTCTCGGGCGGCTAGGATCTTTGACCCCCTATGAGGTCGAACGAACGTTCGGAATAATAACGTGAGAATACTGGATATTGTGGGTGGGGTGAGAATGATGTAGAGCAGACATATTGCTCGAGTTGAGTTACACCCTACCTAGTAGGCAGGGTATATACATACATACATACATACATGTATCCACCTGTTCCTGTGCCTGCCAATGCTCATGAGATATCACTCGATATTCAGGGGTTTTTTCTTCAATCCAAACAAAGTTAGGCAGTGAGGAAAACGGCAGGCCACTGGCCAATCAGTTTTCTCCCCCCGCCCCCTTCGTTGACACTTTGGGAAGGCTGCGCGGCAACAATACAGTTTCTTGGGTTCGCAAGGTCCGTGCGTGCTCATGTCACACATGGGGGCAGCCGCCGCCTTGGGAACATGACGGGGGTGATGGGATCCACATCTCCAGAAACAGAAGCAGTTATGTTTTAAACAGAACATAACGGAGCGCGAAAAAGAAGGAAATAAAAAAAAAAGAAGATTAAAATAAAAGACACAAACAACAAGGGCACGTACTCCCTCGTGATCGGTGTTCCAATTTAATAATTTTCTTCTCCCCTCTCATTCTATTTGGCTACGAATATTCCAGTCAGTGACTACGAAGTCAAGGCAGAGACAGAAGGGCCCGAAAACGTTCAATCGGACCCGGGGCATCATAAGCGCGCAGAAGGCCCGTGGGGGAATAATGCGACATTTTGCATCATCGCGATAGACACAAACGTCTGTATGATACTCACGCACTCACGCACTCACGCGTTGTGTGAGCCTTAACAAGGCTGCGCTGAGCACCCTCTTCCCCCCGCCTCCCCACCCCCCAAGACGCATATGTACCTGCTTACTTCTTCTACCCCCCCCTCAGTCCTCATAACGACCATATCCACCTGATAGTTGCAACACACATAATTCAAACTTCCCCGAAACACATAGCGTTATAAACCCAACACAAACGTTAACCATGACTGACGTCCTCTCGATTGCAGCCTCAGCGCTGATAATAATCTACGCCTTCTCTAAACTTCTCTCCCTCTTCTTCACCTACTTTACTAGTGTCCTCCGTGCGCCTCTCTCTCGCTCGCACTTGCTATTAGAGCTTTATCTGCTCCAACAATTCGCCCTCGCGCTTCAGGAATACACAGACTCCATCCAGGAGTCCCCTGCACTCCAAAAACTCAATTCTACCATCGACGAGCCCCTCCGCGAGTATGCTAAGAGCCTCGAAGATCTCCGGGGCAGTATAGAGCCAGCCTACGGGGGTGTACGCGGTATGCTCCAGAGCCTGGTGTGGCCATTGAAAGAGCGGGGGGTGATGGCGGAATTGAGCAGATTTGGAAGAGTCAGGGAGATCTTTGAACTGGCATTGGGGATGGACCATGAGTATGTTTACCTATAAATAGATTTTATCGGGTGATTTTGATGCTGATTGTTGTGCCTGGTAGGACCATCTTAAGGAATATGGAGTCACATGTCCGGCAGACATGGATCGCGACACAGGCCATCGAGACGTGCGCGAAGAACACAAACGTTACCGTCTATGAGACGAAGAAGTTGCTTTCGCCGCCCCGACCGGCGTCGGAGTATTTTGTCAGGGTGCCCTCGACGGCTTAGTCTTGACTAGCGGGTCAGTGTACAGTGGTCAGAGGGGTTGTAAATATCATTGAGGATTTTCCCTTTTCATTATTTCTTTTTACTGTTTCCCACTTCTTCTCTGCGGGGGCCTTGAGGGGTTTCTAGGGATTTTTTTTTTTCGCGTCTCGGGGGTTCGGGTATTCGGGGTTTCAGGGTAAATTTTTTTCTTTCTTTCTTTGCCGGTTTTCTTTTCTTTTTTCTTTCGTCTTCGCTTTCATTTTGGATAAAAACAACTCAAGGGCTGCGCCATATTGTGTTTTCGTTTCTGTGTGCCATATTTGCTACAAATTTTATTCCGGCTATGGAGTGTCGTACCTGCATTAGGATTCAGGGGTAACTGCATAGGTCTATAGCGTAGCATAAAATGTTTACTTCCTCTGTGCATTGCCGGGCCGGACCTCGAGAAAAATGTTCCGAGGGTGATGGAGTCTGAAAATACTGGGGTTGGAATCGGGCTAGCCACCTCCAGAGAGGCCATGTGTGGTCATGGAGCATCACTCGGTATTTGGTGGTTTGGGTTTGTGGGACCCTTGAGTTGTGGTTTTCGAGAGGTATCGGAATATGCTTGTCTGGCTGACCCAGTTATGGTTTTCTGGGTGCGTGCGATACTGCGGTTTAATAGTCATGTATATACCGCCAAAACTCGAAAGATTGGCCATCTCCGTCCAGGGATTGATTATCTCTCGAGTGATTGGTTGAATAGCAGCACATACTAGTAAGCACTAGTTAAAATGAGTGGAACAGTGATTATGGCATAGAAGGTAAGTTTCGGGTCATACACACAATTAATGAATTATCAATCGATCAATCAAGCATCGGATCATAGAGTATCACTCGCAACGATCTTGGCGACCCAACCTACTAGAAAATCGCGTAGCCAGCAGTCCCCCCGGAGAGCAAGAAAGCTATTGGCAGAGTTTGTATAAAGACGGATAAACAATATATTCGCTATAACTAGAAACTATCCAACTAGCATATACCCCACCACCCTAACCCCCGCAATCCCCATAAATGAATTAACAACAACAACTCCGCAGTCCCCCGCTAACACCCCGCACCGCACAGCACACTACTTAGATCGAGGTGTGTGGAAGCTAATCAGTCGGTTGGGGCTGGCGTAGAGAACTCCGGATTGAAAAACACCAGGCTACCAAGTACCAAGATCCTCCAGAGAAAAAACGCATCGCAGAAACAACACATCCCCAAAAACCAAGAATCAAAAACCAAAAACCAAAAACCAAAAAGTCAAAGCCAAAAATCAAAAGCCAAAAGTCGAAGTCAAATCAAACCCAAACGCCTAGAAACTCCATATCAAAGAAGCGTCAAACCCAAAAAGCGCGCGCACCAAGAATGGAAGAAAGCAACCTCAAAACCCAACTCAAATCAGCAGTCAAACGCAACCCAAAGTCAAAAGCAAGAAAGAAGTTCAAAACGAAGAAGTAGAAAGAGACGAAAAAAAACCACCCAAAACCCAAATCAATGGGGTAAAAAAGAAGAAGAAGAAGAAGAAGAAGAAGAAGTTAATTCACAAAAACACCAAACACCAAATTTGTTGGGTTGGTGTTGGTGTTAACACCAACACCAACCCAAAAAAACCCCGCCCAACCCAACTAACTACCCCCCGAACCGTTTCTACCCGCAAAGACCCATCTCAGCGATCCCCTTGTATTTCTATCTCGATAGCATCGTCCGGCGCGCAGGTCGAGAGCGGTTTATTTATTCACCACATCTCGTTTTTTGGACCGCGTGGGTGGGTACGAAGAGGACGAGGATAATGAGGATAATGAGGATGAGGAGGCGGAGGAGGAGGAGGAGAAGATTATTGTAGAACTAGATATTATCGTCTGCACAGCAGGATTTAGGAGGTCGAACAGCTCGTTGTGAGTGTTGTGAGAGAACGAGTGCTGATGAAGGAGCTGTAAAGACGGGAGGAAGAGAGGGGGTTATATATTATCTTGTCAGTACGTATGTATCTGTGTATACCCCCCCTCTTCCCCTACTTCAGTGGTGTCATTGTTACAACGACACCCACCAATACTTCAGTTTCCAACTGGGGCGTTTCAGAAAATGCGGGGTACCAAGTGAAGTGGCCCCGTCTCATCTGGATTTGTAGCCCGCCATTGGCTAGTTGTGGTGTGGGTGTTTGAGGTGTATGTAACTACACCATTATCTCACGAGTCGACGCCCGTCACATGTTCTGGTCAGGGCCAGTTTTGAATCCTCCTGGAGTGCGGTTGTGGTATTGCTATAGTTAGATTTCCGGAATGGGATTGCGGAGGTGCGGGGATTGGTGATGATATAGACTTGGCTCCTATGAAGACTGACCCGGAGGGGAATATAGCTCAGTCTCGCAGTTGAAGCAGAGCATACCTGCATTATATAATTACCCCTCTCTCAAACGCAATTAAGTTGCCTTCGTAAAGTAGCCCCTCTCCGCCGAGGTCTTAAAAATCGAACCATACTGGGATAGGTAGTCTCTAGTGTTAGATAGAGATAGAAATCATTATCAGAGCGAGAATTGAGCTTTGTGAGTTCAAATGGCACCGATCAATGAAACCGCGGCGTATGGCGGATCCGGATTCATTCTGAGAGAGCGCCTTCACAACAGCAACGTGTGTATTAGAGTGCCAATGACCCCACGATAAGATTATCTCTTTCCCGATAACAGGCGGCATCCAATTGAGATAAACCAGTTAGAATTCCTGGTGATAGGGAGTGTCGAGGATCTAGACATCTATTTGTTGTTCTTTCAGGCCGCGGGACATAGAGAGGGGTGAAGTGGTGCGCGGAGCAATGCAAGACTCGAGTGTCCTTGATTCACCCGACAGCCAACCACGGGCCTCGTGTATCAACGACGTATCCACGTGTTATCGAGTGATAATCTGTGCATCCAACGGCGAAGCATCTTGGCAGCTCTAAGAAATTCACTCCACCACTCAACGTCTGATGTCTCAGAAATTACACCATGTGATAAATCATGTCATATATGTACTGTGATATATATTTTTAATAGTAAACTGTAACTAAAGACATTACTACTGCGCTGCCTGTATCTTTATGCACGCCAAATTGTGGCTAATTCTAACCAATCCGTATCAGTTGTTCGTATTTTCTGTGGCTTTTAGTATCCGTATGAAGAAAGAGGGTTAATTCTTTGGGGGGCAAGATTTTCCAGTTAAACTATGGCTATCGGGTGATAAGATCTACGGACCCTAGACCATTGAAGATATAAGTTGTAAATCATATCTTGTTTCCCTACGAAGCAAAAGAAAAGTTCACATTCTTAATTAGTCAGACTGGTATGGCGATAGGACCTGCACCAGTCTCTTTCACCACGGTTGTTTATATGGATAGGCAGCGGGCTTGAAAGGGTTTGGCAGTATCGACGTGCTCGCGATATTAGCTCATGGAAAACTGACCTCGACTAATCATATATTGCATATCGGGAACTAAATGACTCTTATTTGGCGTTTCTGCGACCTTCTCCTGCCTATTGAGCCCCTTACTTTACCACTCGACTCCTTCTTCCACTCCTCAAAGAGGTGCTTTCATTTCCCGCACACTCTGCGCTCCAAATATATATATCTCAATAACCTCTGGTCGCTAGGGGGGATGTATATGAGGGGCGAAATAAAATATTGTGGGAATAGGAACCGCTCATGTAAGTGTACTCACATCCCCTGCGGAGGATGGGTTCATGGCCATTAAGCAATCCCTGCAATTGTATCAAGTTTGTAAAGCCAGATATACTGACGATATATGGATAGAATAATGATAGAATACACTGGAGAAGCGTGGAGTCCCGAGGGAGCCCAGTTTAAGACGAGAAGAACGGTGCTCTCCGAGTTTTAAAAAGCTGATTGCCTATTGCTTGAGCATGCGCATGAATCTCAGGACATAACCGTCCTACGAGGAATGGGTCAGTATGATAGGGATAAACCAAGTGAAGGGAGGACAAAAAGCTCAGATGAAGGAAAGGTCCGGGCTAATATTTCATCTTATTACCGCGCGCACCAGAGTCGATTAGACTAGCGCTTAGATAGCTCCTCCGCAAAAGTACTAGATTTTATTCGCTGGAATATGGAGGTTCGAACGGACGTTTATAGATAGGGAAAATGTTAAAAATGATATAGTTTTAAGTAAGTAGATGTGCTCTACAACAAACATGGTGCAAGATGATATTCGGATGGTTGAGCAGGATGGCTGAGCGTCGACATCGAAGGGTTAGGGGTTTCCGCTTCATCTTGGCACACAGCCAACCTCAATTATCACTTCCGGCGCAGTAAATACTATGGGCGGGTGGTCTAGTGGTTAGACTGCTCGTCGGGCTAGACACCGAGTGTTTACTCAGGACACACACAAGGTCCTGGGTTCAAACCAGGGGTGGGGGTAGCAACGCACAATGGGAAATAAGTCGTTGCAGTACCTTTTGTTGTTTTTTGTTTTGCTTTTTGGATTGAAATAAAGATTTCTCTAGCTAGAGGAGGAAGGCTAGGGGTGATCGAGTGGAAAGGTGGGGGGGCTGGGAATAGGCCCTCATTACTTCAATGTCTTTGTGCTCGCGGCGTGAGGTCGAGCTAAACTATGTTATTTTACATCATGTGCACGTATACTGAAAAGGGTCATTTTATACCTTTTCCAATAGAACTAATAGTACGGCAGTCACCGCCAAGGCGCTTGGAACCCTAACCCTGGTAATGTAATACACGGTGACCAACCACCACAACCAGCCTTACCTCAACCTCGGGCTTTACAAATCGAGCACCAGCACCCCCAAGTATACATATGTGTCACCACCCGAGCTTATCGAAGTGGCTGAGATAGATGCGACCGTGGCCATATCGGAGCCGATACCAGGTCTCCGCAAAGTCTAATTGACTTCCTGGTCGTACGTGTCATTCGAAGCCGAATTAATACAATGTCGGAACTACCGGAATCAATCGAATTGATATTATAGCGCCTAGCATACTATACTACTGAGGAAAACAATATTTCTCTAAGAATTCCAAAAAGATTTAATTATTAAAACATAAGAAACTCCAAAGGAGTGAATCTCCCTCTCTCCTACAACACCCCGCCTCCTCCTCCAAAAGTCCTCATCTATGTATTACAACTCCCCCGCCCCCGCCCCCCCTCATAAACCCACACCACTAACCCTGACTCTTTAAACAAGGAACGAAAGCACCGCCGGAACTGCCGCAATCAAGAACGAGCTCGCCAGCAACGATCCCGCAGCATTGGTCGTCTGGGTGGCCACTGGCGCAGAACTAGTGGTAGAGGCATTAGAGCCATTAGCCGGGTGAGTGGCGCCGTAAGGCGGGCTAGTAGACGAGCTCGAGTTCGTGCCGTTAGTGGGCTCGACCAAGCCCAGTTCCACAAGCTGCTCGGTGGTTGTGTTGAAGGCCGCCGGATCCGCAACTATGATTCGATGAAAATTAGTACAAAATTCCCTCTCTTGTCCCGGATCTAGAGGAGGGGAGAAGGGGGGAGGGGGTGCTGCTTACTCATGAATGGGAGACAGGTTAAGAATATGTTCCCGGAGATGATTGTCATGTCGGCATCCTCGCTGTCAGGGCATGCTTCGACGCAGGCTTGGCTTCTGTTGGTGCCAACGTTCTGCTCGAGTCTTAGGGTCTGTGAGCAAGCGCACTCGAGGTCAGTGCCGCCGCAGGTGAGCAAGATTGCATCGATGTCGACTTCCATGCAATCCTTGTTGCAGGATGGGAGGTCGTCAACGAACTCTTGGTAGTTTGTATAGTTTCGTGGCTGCACTTGTGCGTTCACCACGGCGAAGAGAGAGAACACGGCGGCGGCGTAGGTGAAGACGGTGGTGGAAATCATTTTTGCTGGGTTTGTGTTGTTCGAGGAGCACTACTGGTGGGAAGATGGGGATTGAGTGTGTATTAATTGATATCCGGGGACTCTGAGTGAAGTGAGAATGAGGAGGTGAAGGATGTGGTTGAGATGTTAGATACTCGTTGGTTTATATACTTTGTTGATGTCCTGGTTCATGGGGTGACTCTATATCGGCCCTCAATTAAGGTTGGTGTGTTCTTGGTTGGCTGGTAGCTAGTGCCCCCATCTGTGCCATGCATGTACCTACATCATGAAAGCAATACCCGTGGCTATGTTGATGACTTCGAGAGGCTGATTTCAAGGTTCTTACTCCTAGGTTCACCGACTAAAACCCCTGCTAAGGATGTTGATCATCACATATCGGGTCGGATCTCTCTTCAAGCCGCATACAGAATATGTCCGTTGAATCCATCAAGTCCCAATACAGCAGTGCCTCAGTATCGAAAGTTCCGGATCAAAATTGTGGACATCCAAGGGAATTATCACAAGGTCCGATAATTGGTGCCAGCATTCTCATCTGATACTTCACCGGCGTTTTTTTGGTCTATCGGGTGATTATATTACTAGTCTTGTTTAATTTGCTCAATTTGGTGATTTTCCTTTAGAGGCTTGATCTGGGATCCCAGATACTGCAACACATGTAGTTGCAATTTCAGTTCATATATCGATATCGCCGAAGAATGTAACCTCTGTATGGAGACATACAGTTAATTCATACTATATTTAGACTTGTACCATATCCTGAACATTCCAGTGCGATTTATTGGGGGCGACATGAGGTTTTACCCGTTTTTGACTGCGGAATGCTTGGCTTTCATGCGCCGCTGTTTGACAGGGATTCTAGAACAGCCAACAGTGGATGAGATCTTTAAACTATTCCTGGTTCTTTTATTCTTTTTAGTTCGGTACCTGTCTGTTGTCTTCATAGCGCTGGTCGGATAAACTGAACACCGACCAAGATGTGAAGATCTAGACGACCCAAATATCGATCGTTTTACTGTGTAGTATCTATCCAGGACAACCAAACACAAAATATCACTCGGCTTGGCATAGGTAGATACCAAGCATTAGTAGTATTTACTAACTTTGGAGGTGTTTGTAGCTCTCGATCTCCGTACGGTTAATATAATGTATGTAGTTCTAGAACTATTTTGGTCTCTAGAACCCTATTCTCGTACGGAGGCATTGTTCCAACAGACATGTCGAGTGGTTGGTATTGATCTGTGGGAGTCCCAACGTAGAAAAAAAGTAGGATGCCAAGAATGACCAGGGTTTGAATACACCACACAAGTTACAAAGTAGTAACGTTAGAATGCCAGCCCTATGGGCAGATTAAAGTACAGTAAGCACACAATTTACGAATAGGTATGTGTCCGTGAGTCTTCCGGTCATCAACAATGCCAAGCATGATTGCGCATTTGGGAGGTGTTTCGTAGCGCCAACCCATTGTGCCGCTAAAGAGCCTCAATGCCTTGCACCACGCCACGATTCCTTGCATAACCAACCAAACCGACATCCGACCCCACATGAATTCGGTGCCTGGTCTTGGCTGGGGGGCAATATGTATTAGACTACATGATAAGGCTGAACAAGTTTTAGAAAGAGGCGACGTACATAATAGCGCGGCAGAATTGATTTTGCCCTGACATATGCGCCGGAATAGATATCGGCCGGGAGAAAGATGTGTGGAAATCCGAAATTTCTTGGCCAATAAGTTGGGGTGCGTGTTTCGAAATCTCGAGGTTCTTGGATTTTTTTGACGCGGTGCGAGAAGAAGAAGTGAAGGGAGCAAAAAGCATTACGATTGGCTTATCTTGTTTGCTCTATTGGTTAGCCGGAGCTAGGCTCACTGGCGTCCGACGCCCTAGTCCCCCAAGTGATGTCTTCCAGCTAGTAACGAGAGAGAAAGGATACAACAATAAATGCAAGAGTGAGATCGATTCTATGACGTGGCTATCAACAGCATTGGAGACGCTAAGTTTGTTGGCCTGGATTGAACTTGGACTAGACACGTTTCTGGATGGTAATGAACAGAACATAATAGGTAACACACATATATTTACCGCGACAGACGATAGAATACATATGGCACTTACGCATATATAAGACCGTACGCGTGTGCTTTAACTCCCAAGAATTTCTTCGTGTCTTGTCTCACTTGTGATCGCCGGTACAGCCATTTAGTGAAGTGCAAAAGTGTAACTCCAAGTTCAACCTGGACAGAAACCATCATTTACTTATGTTCTAGGCAGTAACTATGAGCAGAGAGATAGAACTGTTCCCTTGGCCAAAGCCCAAACAAGGAGTCCCGTCGTTTCTCGGTTTCGAAATTGCAGCCTTACGGCGCAGTGCGCGCGGGTCCTGTAATATTGAGCGTCGCTAGACCAGGGACTTTTGCACTTTGCAAGAGCAAGGGTTCCAAGGGTAATAAAATCCTCACAAATCCCTGAGATATATCCATGTAGTAGTAACTTTAATGTGGCAAAGTGGGTGAGGGTTAATCTGTATGATGTGTTTAAACGTCTAAAGATTATAGCCTTGCCCACCGTCATCGAAAGCGTTTCTATTGGCTAGATTGTTCTGCACACCACAGAATATATAGGCAAGACATTTCTCCGGAAATTGGAAGGGGACTAACATCGAGAGTCTGCATACTCGTCTAGATAGTAGCTTTTGAATCAGTTAAACCTACAAAGCTACTTTTAATGATCGAATCGAGATCCGGAGCTAGAGTTAGGTAAGAATACCTTTGAGAACATTTCGTCTCCCTGCCACTGTCTAGATCTGAAACTAATACATATAATATATCGCCCAGGACGCGACGGATAGACTCGACGGCCCACTAATGTACTTCGACTTTTCAAATACTCCCATCTACTCACTGTGTTTGCGGCCGGAAGCCACACTCAACTTATATCTGACAATTCAGGGGGAAAACGTAGAAAAGAAACTTATGACTGCCCAAATAGACCGGCTATGATCACACTCACGGCGAAGCCCTTAGTCTCCCATGAGCTATCATGCAAAAAGACAGAGATCAACGGTAACGCGTGCTCAAAACGTGAAGGAAGGAACATTCATCCCATGGACCAGAAATTAAAATCGACTCCTTTTATGGACCCAACGTACTAAAAGTACCTAAGCGCACCACAGATTACTTATTTGCCAACAGCCCTTGGAAGATCAAGTGCACGTGTGGAAGGGATGGTAAAGCTTAAACCTGAAGTATTGAAGTACTCTCCGGCCTAATTAACCCTATTTGCCCATTGGGTCAGGAGCCAGTAATCTGGGGCTCCACCTTAGCGAGAATATATATCAACTAATGAGGTACCGATCACAGGATAATCGGTAGGGCTGAGGTGAAGAGGCGTATGCTACAGATTTAACTGGTAAAACTCGAATTTGATAGTAGATGTATAGGGTATGAATCGAGTAGGATCAAGGGTAGAATCAAAGTAGGAAAACGCCAAAGATAGTGGTTAGGTTGTATTTCGTCCCCTGATGCGTTTGTTTATTAGCGTATCGGTTCAAGGATGTTGACATTACAATTGGATGGGGCATTTGTTAGTCTCGTACCCATCCCCTTAAACTTCTTATCCCTTCGTCTGAAAACAAATGCTGACCCCCCCCCCAAAAAAAAATATTCTGGTGTGGCTTTACTAACAGAGCCTGTTTTGTCTCTTATCAAATAATGGATCTCCCATACAAACTTAATTGCTCTATTATAATGCGAGTTTTGAGCAAAACCTCTTTTGAAATCTGATCTGAAGTACTATGGCGCGAGAAGGCATAGGGGGTGGGTGTGTCAACTTCAGAGGAACCTTTTTTGTATGGGAATTAGAGAAAATTCCACCGTTAGGCTAGGCGCTAGTACCATTGTGTGAGTAGATCTCCCAATTTCTATAGATTGATTGGCTGCAAACGCCGAAGTTTACACACCTACCCACCATAGCTTCTCGAGCCATACGTCCTCCATTTTTACACCCCTGTTTTAGAACACACTCCGTTGCAACAAATTTCCATTACGTATGTTAGCCTCTGAAATGTGATATCAGGCTCTGATTTGCGATACAGTAGCCCGAAATATGATATAGAAGCCTCGATTGTGATATCAGGGTCAGAACAAACTTTTTGTATGTACATATATGTAGTTATGTACATGAGCGACAGGTAATAAGGGATGGAACGCCATAATCAGCTGAAATACAGTTATCTGCAAACACCGTACGTATGTTGGTGGCTTTTACCTAAAGTAGGTATCACTGTGTCCTAGCCCTTCCATCACTTATTACCTACCGCTGTACATGTGTGAGTGGTGGAGTTGAATCACGTGGGTGACTACTATCCCATGGTAGGATGAAATTTGTCAAACTTGCGACCTCCCTTTTTCAGCTTTTACTAGCCTAGTATGGTAATTGTTGGAAATTCTTGATTGGCTCTGTTCCGTAAAAAGCAACATAATTCCCTTACTAAGTGGTGCACGGTCCAGGTCGCAAGTTTGACAACTTTTCATCCTACCATGGGATAGTCCAAACACATGGCCCAAACCGAAGAGCAAGTGGAAAGAGCATCCATCCCTACGACATCATCATCGCTTGCAACCTACTCTCCATACATCACTACCCCCTGATAGACAAAAATGGGCAAAACAAAGATATCTTGGGATAAAAACAACTACTCCCTTCTCCGCCGCATCCTTACCAAAATACTTGAAAATCCAGATATTCATCTTTGTATCTGGAGGCGCCCCAATGAAACCCAACTTCCACTGATGACGAAGACCAAAGCGATAATAAGACTTGTTGAGATTGCTCTCCCTGGCTATATTCAGTGCGATCAGTTCATACCAGAGACATATGCCCACGCCGTTTCTACCAAGATCGGGCGTCTATATAAGATCTATTTTATACACCTATACCCCGAAATTAGAGACCAGCTCATAGCATCAAATGATTGTAAGTATTATTGAATAGCCTTGGTCTACTACGCTACTTTGACTAACTCATCGTGATCAAGACAGGATTACTCGGGAAAAGAATTTCTGGGCACTCTTGGAACAGCTGGGCGGAGAATCTCCGGGGAGGCATGGGGCCGGCGTGGTGGACGTTAAACCGCCCAGGAGACCTGAGGGAAGGCTCTCCGGGAAGAATAAAGTTAAGGCAGTGGTTGATTTGACTGGGGTTGACGGTGATGGTAACGGTGGGAGCTTATCCATTAAGACTGAGGCGTCTGATTATTCAACGCCTGCTAAACCTTCAGCCACTCTTGAACCAGGAGCGGGGGTACTAGTAACCCCGAACACAGTCCCACCCTCCATCGAAGCGACTAGTTCGGTCGTGAACGAAGCCACTCCTATGAGCGTTACCCCAAGGACCGAGGAGAACAAAGTACATCTTCCAACCCAAAGCATTTTACTCGTGGTTTCTAACGTGATATCTAGAAACGCCCAGCTCTAGATTCAGTCGAAGACTTAGATGCCTTGCAAGAACGCAAGCTCCAGAAAGCTCGTGAGCATGAGCTGGCGGTGCTCAATGCAAAGATCCGTCTCGTGGAGGCCGAGACCAAACTAGCCAAGATCCGAGGGGATTACCAAAAGAAATGAGTAGGGGCTCTGTGTTGTGACAGTAAATAGTTCCGGTGGCTGGGGTTCGGATCTCAACAATATTGTTAGGGCTGATGCTAACTGTCTGCAAGCGAAGCCATAAATTAGAAGCGGCTCCTAGATCTTATGGATACGAATCTTCGGAGAATACTATAGTTTTAGGTGTTGCATGAACATGTATTATTATATCAATACCAAATTTAGCCTTTCATATTCATTGTTCGATGTATACAGTCGACTCTCGCTGTAAGGGTACGGAAACTTCCAAAAGTAGGATCGCAACTGGCCCTTATAATAGAGAGGGTAGTACTCTTATGGGCAATCGAGGTGGGTTATTCGGTTGATTTCCGGCCCAACAATGGATGACTCAATGGACACTTGTGAGTTATAGGTGAACTTTGACCATAGACCTCCCCTTTCTATAAGGATGCACCCCGAAAACAATATCCCAAACTTTCAAGGGGATCCTTATAGCACTTAAGTACTCAGCCATTTACCCTTAATTTTACACATAAAGGTCTTGAACCCATACCCTTATGGCCAGATTACCCTTATCTAATAAGTATATAGATATACCGATATGCAATGTGTTATTTAAAGGTTTTGATTGGCCAGGTTTGAGGGGTTTTCTTTTTCTCTATCAAATATGTTTGTCAGTAAGTAGATATTCTATCAAATATGTTGGAGTTAGTAGATATTCTATCAAATATGTTTGAGTCAGCCAGTAGATATTGGTTCCAACATACCTTGAGTCAACCAAATAGTATATCAGATATGTGCACAGGGCATCTTGGGGTTTCAGTGATCTTAAGCGTTGGTAAACTGATATTGTTTAAGCCATAACAGTTCCTACTCCGGCGAAAATGCTTGTAGATAGTACCTTTGTAAAGGGAGTCGAATGTATGGTGTGTAGTGCATTGACTAATCACCAGGGTTGTAAGGCAAGTAAGTGGTAGTGATCGACTTCTGTTTAATTCAGATATCTTGCTTACCATACTCACGCATTAATTAAGTCCTGAGGGCCCCTGGTAGCACTGACCTCAAAATATTTCTCAGGACTTAACGCACGCGAATAGAAAAAATTCAAATCATTGTGTGTGAGTGGTGGAAGTGCGTCACGTGGGTGACTAACCCAAACACATAACCCAAACCGAAGTGCAGGCCGACGGCTTAACAGTCGATACTCGAGACTACATCCATCCCCACGACATCATCATCATCCCCAACCTACTCCCTGTACATCGCTCCCCGTACATCACTCCCCTGATAGACAAAAATGCGTGAAGTACTCCTTCTCAGGCATGTCCTCACCACCATACTGAAAAACCCGGATATCCGCCTCTCTCTCTGGAGTCGTCCCGGTGACACCGAGCCTGCTCCCATGACGGCGGAAAAAGCGGCAATGAAACTTATCAGGATTGCTCTTCCCGACCATGTTGAGTACGAGGGCGAATTCAATCCATTGAAGTACTTCAATGGCGTTTCTACCAAGATCAGGCGTCTCAATAAGATCTATTATATAAACTTGTACCCCGAAAGTAGAGACCACCTCATAAGGTCAGATGATTGTGAGTGTTATTGAATGGTCCTGGTCTACTGTTCCACTTTGACTAACTCGTCGTGATCATCTAGACAGACTTATTCGAGTAAAGCCTATTTGGGCACTCATGAAACAGCTGAGCAGAGACTCTCCAGCTGAGAAGGATAGAGCTAGGGCAATGGTTAAGCCGCCCGGAGAACGCGTGAAGGATCTGAACGGAGCCTCTCCCGGGAAGAATAGAGCTAAGGCAGCAGCTACTTTACCTAAGGCGGGCGGTATTAATGGTAGCGGTTGGAACCAACCCACTAGGGCTGAGACGTCCTACAATCTCAGACCTACCAGATCTTCAGCCAATCTTGAACTAAATCCGAGCAAGATTGTGACCTTGAAAGTAGCCGCGCCCTCCGTCGAGACACCTAGGGGCGATGCCTCAAGGGCTGTGCAGGACAAAGTAATTCTTCTAACCCAAAGCGTTTCGCTTGTGATTATTTCTAACTTGGTATCTAGAAACGTCCAGCTCTAGATTCAGAAGCCCAAGCTTTGGAAGAGCGCAAACTCGAGAAGGCTCGTGAGCATGAGCTGGAGGCCGAGACCGAGTTGGCCAAGGCCCGAGGGGATCATCAAAAAGAAATGAGCAAGGACTCTGTATTGTGATGGTATTAATATTTGATTGACAAAGTTCTCGTGGTTTTCGCATAGCAGCCAGCAGAAATTGCTCAAAATACTAATCCACAGATTAGTCGGCAATCGAGCTTCATACATCCTCCGGAGCTAGCTACGTTCTATCAATCTTCAGCTCTCTCACCACACAACTATCTCCTCTATATCTTTGTGGTTGTGGAGTTATAGTCGTTTCATGACCCATAATACTTGCACAAAATTACGCGAACCTTTGTTAGTTCACAATAAATAGCTCTACGATATGATGACTGAAGTAAGTTTAGTTCCCGACGATATTGAGGCCGATGCTAATAGTTTGAAAAATCAAGCCAACTGATAAGTAGATCCTATATCTCATGAAAAGTAACCTCATCGGGTGCTATAGTTTAGGCGTTGATGAGCGTGTATTACTAGGTCAATACCAGATTTAGGCTCCTATATTCAAGTGTATTACACATTGGCCTGAACGTTGCGTCATATGACCATAGATACCAATTTCTGTCTCCAGAATATTTGTTTACGAAAAATTGAACCTATGTATTGATCTCCACGGCTCTGATAGCTCCGGAGCAGGTGTATCACAACTGATCACTCGCTCACAGACCATCACTCGGTCGAACTGCCTCGCATATCCTATGGGACCTAAAAGCTATAGCTTTCCGACTTAGGTGAGATCTTTTTGTATGGGGTATCGGCATCTGTGTGACTGTCGGGCGGCTGTCGGGAAGATAATGTTCCAGACCCTACTGGCGCGCAGCTTGCTGCTAAGTAGGGGATGGGTACGAGACTAGGCATTTGTGTGAGTGGTGGAAGTGCGTCATGCGGGTGACTAACCCAAACACATAACCCAAACCGAAGAGCATGCCGACGTCTCAACCATCCCCACGACATCATCATCATCATCCTCCTCATCATCCTCCTCCTCATCATCACCATCCTCCTCCTCATCATCACCATCCTCCTCCTCCTCCTCCTCCTCCTCCTCCTCCTCATCATCATCATCATCATCATCATCATTACTTTCAACCTACTCCCCGTAAATCACTGCCCCTGATAGACAAGAATGGGCGAAAAACTGCTATACTGGACCAGAGACGACTACTCCCTTCTTCGGCATGTCCTTACCTCGATACTGCAAAACCCGGATATCCGTCTCTCTCTCTGGAGGCGTCCTGATGACACCGAGCCTGCCCCTATGACGCCAAAAGAAGCGACAATAAATCTTATTGAGATTGCTCTTCCCGAACATGTTAAGTACGAGGGAGAATTCGATGCATCAAGATACTACAATGCTTTTTATACCAAGATCAGGCGTCTTAACAAGATCTATTTTATGAACTTATACCCTGAAAGTATAGACCAGCTCATGAGATCAAATGATTGTAAGTTTTACTGAATGGCACTGTCTACCGTGAGACTTTGACTAACTCGTCGTGATCATCTAGACAAACTTATTGAGGTACAATCTGTTTGGGAACTCTTGAAAGAGTTGGGCGGAGACTCTACAAAGCAAGATAAAGATAGGGTAGTGGTTAAATCGCCCGGGGGTCTCGTGAATAATTCGAACGGAGACTTTCCCGAGGGCAATAGAGCTGAGGCAGGAATTACTTTAACCAGGGTTGACTGTAATGGTAGCGGTAGGGGCCCGCCTATTAGGACTGAGACGTCCTATAATTTAAGACCTACCAAATCTTCAGCCAATCTTGAACCAGGACCGTCAAAGCTTACAACCTTGAATACGGCCACGCCCTCTGTCGAAATACCTAGCTATAGTAGCGATACCTCAATGATTGTGTGGTGCAAAGTACTTCTTTCAACTCAAGCGTTTCACTTGTGATTGTTTCTAACTTAACATCTAGAAACGCTCGACTCTCGATTCAGAAGACCAGGACTGTTCAGAAGAGCGTAAGCTCGAGAAGGCTCGTGAGCATGAACTAGCAATCATCCATGCGAAGGTCCGTCTTGTGGAGGCCGAGAAGGCTCGTGAATGTGATCTGGCGGTCATCAATGCGAAGATCCGTCTCGCGGAGGCCCAGACTGAGTTAGCCAGGGTCCGAGGGATTATCAAAGGAAATGAGAAGGGACTCTCTGTGTTGTGATGGTATTAATGTTTGGTTGACAAAAGTCCCCGCGATTCTCGCAAATCAACTAGCAGAAAAATTCATAGGGTCGGCGATCGAGATTCATACATACTTCGGAGTTAGGTTCTATCAATATTCAGCTCCTTAATCACACAACTATCTCCTCTATATCTTTTGTGGAGTTATAGCTTTTCATGACCCATACTTGTACAAAATCACGTGGACTTTTGTCAGTTCACAATAAATAGCTCTACGATAAGATGATGACTTAAGTAAGTTCGGGCCCCGACAATATTATTGAGGCCGATACTAACAGTCTGTAACAAGGGAAGTCATAACTTAGAAGCAGATCCTAGATCTTATGGATACGAATATTCAGCGGATACTCTAGATTTAAGCCTTGCTTGATGAACGTGTACTATTAAATCAATACCAAATAGCTCCCATATTCACAGTGCGATATATTATGTTGCACATTGACCAGAATGTCAAGTGGTGACCATGGTGCGAATTCCTGTCTCCAGATGTTGTGTTTACCGTCGACTCGATCTCTACGGCTCCGATGGCTCCGGTGCAGTTGTATCACAACTGATCACTCGCTCATAGACCATCATTCGGTCAAACTGCCTAGCATATCCTACGGGATCTAAATCCAGCTACCTCCATGATACTAATTTACTTTCCAGCTTGGGTACTATTCAGCCACAATGTTCTTGGCGCTTTTCTCTTAACTCCACGTACCGCCCAATTTCGGGCAGTTTTACCGCTTATAGTAGTTACATTTATGTACCGTCGATTGTGGTCAGTAGTTGCGGTGGTTGGGGTTGTTAAGGTACTGGGTACGAGCCTGTTCGAAACACCCCTGACATAGAGCTCGAGCTGGCTCGGATTATGGGAACGAAGGCTCGGGATTTTCGATCTCAGGAGTATGGCTCGAGCTTAGGATTGTGCTCTCATTGATAGAGCTGGGGGGAGGAGGGCGCAGCGGAATTACATGTATTACTTACTGTCTTTGATTCCCAGTTGTCTTTACCGCCGAGTCTATCGCCATGCATGCACCGAGTGAAGCGATCGCAGAACCCTCTAGTCCACAACGTCACGAATCGAACCCCGTGAACCATGTAAATATGTCCAGGAAAAGGTAACATTCTCCAATTCACACAATTCTGTATATACATACGCGCAGAGAGAGCACTACTGTCAATACTAAAAATCGATTCTACCAAATTAAACACACACTTTAGAACCGAATCGAATATTCTCATGCCAAGAAACCCAGCACTCATAGCCAATCACTCGCATCACAGGCCGTCACTCGGTGCTTGGCTGCCATGTTGAGAATGGCTTCCGAGCAGCGTACGTGCGCCACAAGGCTGCAGATACAGGTGCCTCGAGGCCTTGAGCTGCTGAGAGTCATTGCTCGCCGGGTATTGTGGTTTTTGTGTCCGTAGGGCCGCGCAGGTGATTAATTAATCGGGCCGGAGGTATCTTCAGCTCTCCCGTAGTTTTGTTCTGGTCGTGACCACTAGTCCGCGGAAAGAGGTTTGGTGCGCGGTGGTGCTGTGGTTGAATGGGGGGGTCGGCTATTGAAGGTATGGGTGGGTATACATGTAGCTATGTTGATATTGTTTGGCGTAGGTATAGGTGTTCATGGAACTGCAATGGAAGAATATGGGAATGCTACTAACTCGTACTCACGCCGGGTCGCCGCATGTCGCGGGACCACTCGGTCGCCGCTACGCCGGCCATGACTGCATCATGATCAGGGGAGGGGAATATCTACAAGTGGTAGGTAGGTACGTTCATGGATGGGTTGGAATAAATCTACCAGCCGGCCGAGTTGTAACGCCAAATAACTTTCCAACAGCTGATTCTTACTCCTGACCCGGAACAACATCACGCCGACTCACTGTAAACGGCAATACACGTATCAAGTCACATCTCATGCACGTATATGGTCAAGAAATTCAAGCTTCCATTGTCAACTCCATAACCCAGCAAACACGCGCATGCCTATAAGAACCCGATCCCGTGTCGATACGGAAACAGAAAACCCGAACGATCCCCCCCGCACCACCTCCAGCCCCACCAGCCCCAATCAAGCCCTCCCATGCGCCGGCCGCATGCCCAGCAGCGGCTCCACCACCACCCTCTCCCCCCCCTCACCCCTCCCATTGACATCCAGCCACGCCTCCAGCGGCGCAAACGCCGGCCGCAGCACCATCTCGTCGTTGGCGGTCAGGGACAGGCGCGCTCTGAGACGGTGGCGCAACGCGCTGTGTGTGGCGTCGAGGGCGGACCTGGGCGTGGGGAGGAGCGACAGGATGAGGATGAATGCCATGAGGGGCAGTGTGGTGACGAGCGTGAAGAGGACGAGCGGGGAGGCGGCGACTTTCATGTTGTGGTTGGTAGGAAGTAATGGTGTTTGGAGATAGTGTTTTTGGCAGCTAGGAGTAGATCGTGGTTGTGGTTGTGGTGGTGGTTGTGGTGGTGGTGGTGGTGGTGGTGGGCTTAAATGTACATGTGGTGGTTGCAGATGTCTGGTGGCATGCCGGCCGGGTGGAAGCCGACGGATAGAATGACGGCGGGCCGCTTTCGTGGCCTTGGTTGGGGGCCGGCTGGCCGGACGGATAGAATGCAGCTAGGCACGCATCCCATCGATCCCGGCACCGCACCGCACCGCACTACAACTCATACCCCAGCGGGAACGGGAACGGCACGAGCTTAAACACCAGCATGGCCATGATACTCGCCACCAGAAAGACCGCGAGCCCCTTTGCGGCCCGCCCGCGGTTCCGGTACTCGGTGACGAGGGGTATGACGCCGGAGGTGTTTTCTTGCTGCTGTTTGGCCATGGTTGCTGCTTTGCTTGGTTGGTTGGTGTGCGTATATATATATATATATATATACGTGGGAGATAAGTATGTATAGCTTCGACTATGTAAAAGGGGGGGGGGGGGGAACAGGTGTTCTTATATAGCAGATAGCTCTTAGCGGACCGGACTAGAGTTCAGCGGTTGTGCAGTTGGCATGGTCGATCTACTAGCTAGTGTTGACGCCATCAGTGTCACATATGGTGGCTCGTATTCCATCCTGGGCTCGGAGATAGTGCACATAGTTACATGTGGTCTACTATACGCTTGATCGAGGCCTCGCCTCGAGAGAGCTCAAAGCACGGGGGCCAACGAGGCGAGCATGCTCGAGCTTTAGGTAATCGCAGTAACCAAAATCCCCACACAAAATTCCGACCTTTTAATTCACGCGATGTCGGACCACAGACCAATATACAGATCATGATAAAGAAGATAAACGTAAATACTAAAACCCTAACTCAATATATATACCGTCACTGCCCCGAGCTCGAACCCAAGTCAAGAGTGAGCCCAGCGCAGCGCTTTGTCCGGTTTGCCTCCGGGTTTTATCCTCTCTAAACTAACCTCTTACCACATGAGCCGTATTTTCCTTGGAAAAAGAGTGAGAGGGCTACCTGAGACTAGCAGGGGCAAAGTATGAGTACATATATGTGCGCGCAGTCATTTCCGGCTTGGCAGTAAAATGCCAAGGCACTGATTAGTAATTAATTGCGGTTAGGCTCGTAGCGCATTAGCTGGACTGACCCGAGAATGGCGCTAGGATTTGGGTCCTTAAAGGTTTTCTCTCTAGGTAGCTAGACGTTGGTTGTGTATGGCTTTGAATTGGGCATTGTGGGTATATGGTGATTTATGAGTGTATTTACTTCTCACGCGCACCATAGCGATATGGGGCGTTTAAATGATACCATATCCAGCCTTTATATCACATAGCCCATAGCTACATGTAGTAGATGCATTTCCCCTTCTTTGCGATTACCTGCCCTTTTCTGGTAGCTGTTTGTCACAAGCATCTATTCGTTTCTTCGTGATAGGGTCTCTTTCAACCCGCCGCAGAAACCCTTTTTTTTGTAGTGAAGTTTGCTTGCAGGCGCTTAATTGTACTCTTCCTTTTTCTTTTTTTTGCATATAGACAGTCTAGACGTTTTGAAAAATCTCTAGCTAGCTAGCTAGGGCCCGGTCCGAAACCAATGTTTTTAGGTACAGAGCCTAGAGAGCTACGTATACGTATACGTACAAGGTAATTGAGATGAGAGCCACAGATCACCCCCCGGTCCAGTCCTTCCCTTCCCTACTAAGCACGCCGAGGAAAGCGTACCTTTGAGAATGAAAAAAAAACCGCGCCGAAACTCGCGCGGTCGGGGACACAAGTTCCAAGACTTTCTCAGCCGGTTGACCGTAGCGTGTAGGCTCGCGAGAAGCTTTAGATGTTTGATAACCGATATATGGGATGGGATTCATTATGGTCGGTGGCAGTTGTACTAGGGTGTGCTAAGTGTACTGAATTCGACCCCCAAATTAATGGTTGAGTACACCAGATCGATCCCCCGCCTCCATGCGCAAATCTCGGTGCTGGTGAATATTGACCACCCCCCCTTCACCTAAAAACGAACATACATCTCTTCACCAATCCCGCAATCGCCTCCTAACTAGCAATTAATAAAGCTTCCATATCCATCCAGGCCTACCGCCTCATCATTAGTCTACACCGCGGGCTCAGTGTAATTGGATAAAAATAAAGTTAAGATTATGTGCTAAGTAGATCATGAACCTCCTAAATAATATACACGAAAAACCAAAAAAACAAACGCCGAGCTATGAATGAATATCGATATTAATCCCCCCCGCATAATAGCCCCCACCTAAGATCTGGACATGCGATACCTCGAAGTCCTGGTCGCCTTAAACAGCTTCTTGACGCTCTCCAGGCTCGATCTAGCCTCCTTCTTGCTCTCTCTCTCAAACACTTTCCATGATGATGGACGTTCGTCAATCGGCCTGTTCCCCCACACTCGTTAGTCCAAAATTCTAGAGCCATGGCAAGAAACAAAGAAGAAGAAAAAACTCACCTCATCTGCGCCTGCACAAATTCCTCCGGCTCCTTGTACTCCACCGGCACATACGGCACACACCCGGGATACACCTCCCTAATCTTCTCACGCTCCCACTCCTCCAGCCCCGAGTCCGCCCTCATCGCCGCATCAATCACCGTCTCCCCATTCATATCCTCCAGCTTCACATTCGCGCCCTTCTCCAACAACAGATTCACGAGCGGATTCCGCCAGAACCCAAGGCCCACATCAACCACGCAGTGCAGCGGCGTCTTCTGGCGGTAGTCCATGGCGTCGATGTCGGCCTTGTTATCGATAAGGTACCACGCCACCAGCTCGCTCCCGCGCACGGCCGCCAGATGCAGCGCCGTCTCCCCCGTGTCCGTCCGCGCCGCGATCGCCGCCCCATGCTCAACCATGTATATGACCACGCTAGCCGAGCACGCCTCCGACTTGACGGCCATGTGGAGCGCCGTCTCCCTTCCCGGTCCCTCCACATTGATCCCCGCGCCTGCCTTTAGCAGCGCATCGATCGTCTTCTCATGCGGCGTGCCTTCAAACACCACATGCAGCGGCGTCTTGCCCACACCGCTCACAACATCAACCTTTGCGCCGGCACCGACCAGCGCCCTGAGCGTGCGGTACTGCCCCGCCCTTGCTGCCCAATGCACCGGTGTCTCGCCGGCGCCGTCGACAATGTTGATGTCGAAGCCCACGTCCTTGTACAGGCGCGCGCACTGCACCAGCCGCTGGATGATGTGCGGGTTGCGGAGCGCGGCCCAGTGGAGGATTGTGGCGCCGCGTTCGTCGCGGCCGGCGCCGGTGACGAGGGCGCCGTACTGGAAGGAGAGGAGCGTGTCGACGGCTTCGTAGTGGCCGTTCTTCACGGCGCAGTATAGAGGTGTGATGCCGGCGCCGGCGGAGTTGAGGGTCCGTGGCTTGGCGCCGTGCTCGAGGAGGAGACGGATGATGTGGGCGTGGCCGACTGTAGATGCCCAGTGGAGGGGCGTCTGGCCGTGGGCGTCTGCTGTGGATGCGTCATTGCCGTTGGTAAGTGCGAGGCGGGCGAGATCGAGGCATCCGTGCTTTGCGGCTACGGTGAGTGCGGGATTGCCGTTGATGCCTTGGAGGACCGCGGCTGCTTTTAGGGAGGGGTTGAAGAGCTTTGAGAAGCGGCGGTTGGTGAGTGTGAGTGAGTGGAGGGAGGCGACATCGAAGTGTCTTGATAGCACGAGGAGAAGTTCATCTGGTAGGGTGAGGATCGGTGCCGCTGTGGCTGTGGCGGGAGCTGATATGATCATAGTCATGGGAATAGAGGAGGGGTTTTTTTTTTTCCTGATGGGGGTGGGGAGGATTTAAGAGACTCTATATCTTCCAGGACCTCGCAAAGATGGCCGTTGAAGTTTGGGGGAGATGTGGGGGTTGAAAATTGGGGTAGGCAGGTTGTGCTTTCTATCTGTCAGTATATTAATAGCTCTGCACAGCCTGCCGCGCAAACCATAGAAGCTTGGCAGGGTGTTTACCCTAGAGACGAAGAAGCTGTGACAGGGAGGCCATTACTCCATTGGCTGGCGACAGTTGATATATTGCTTTTCGGGACTGATGCATGCAGCTTGCCTTGCTTACATAGCTCACGAAGCTTGACGATCTGGCGAATTGCATTGCTTATTTGTTGCCGAGGTAGGAACCCCCGTTTCAACTTTCGAGGGTTGTAGAATATATCCCTAGATAGTCGTTTCATGAGTCCTGTTATTTCAGTAGTTGGTATATAGAGATCCAACATGGATGCGAGAAGGATCCTCCATTGAGAGAATTCATATATATGGAATCGAAGCATGCTTGTTTTACTCCACTCTACTCTAGACTGGTAGAGTAGAATATCGAATACGCACATGTGGTTAGCCATCACACGACCTCAGCATGTTTTCAAAAAGCACAAGTGAACTTACAACAAGTTCGGTGGGCGACATGGATGGATACCTGTCCGATATTCCCGCGTCAGATCAATCACGATCACGGGTAAACAAAGCTGCCCATCTCCATCCGCTGTCATAGCGGCCCTCGGCCCCCATAATCGAACACGTCCAGAAATAAACAATAGCTGCAAGATCGATTGCCGAGCTGAAAAGTTAACGGGCGCACCATGTTCCTTGTTCCAGGCAATATAGTGAAAAAGCTTCCTGGCCCATGCAAACCGGGGTACCTATGCCGCCATGGGTCCGCGCACGGATCTCGAACTTTTAACCTCAGCTTGACAGGAGGAATACATGGTGTAGGTACATACTGATTGGATGGATGAATGGTTTTAAAGCCGGGGATCCATCCGAATTTTGGAGCCGTTCTTGCGGGTTCAAAGATCTTGGGAATATTGGAAGGACCTGAGGATGTTTCGAATGTCTCGGATGTTACCTCATAGGTGGACACATTACCCAAACCGGACGGACCTAGGGTTACTCTAGCACTTATGTCACCCGACAGCAAAACATCGAAAGCTGCTCGCCTCGAGCCCGAACTACGTCGGGTATTCGTATTCTATTTTATTTTTGTTGCCTGAGAATTACCGATTGTGCCAGAGGCCGGAGGGTCGATCAAGAACCGTCCGTAAATGTCCAGCCCACTAGTACTCACGTGCTCACCCCAAACATGAAGAGGATGTCCCGGATGTCCATAAACCGAGTGATTTTTTAGGTAAGGGGAAGGGCCCGGGGGAAGTCCTAGCTTAAAGTTCTTGCGATAACCTTTCTAAATGCAAGGTATATTTTATCGCTTGTACTATAGTAACTTCTCGTATCCGCTAGCTACAATATGTACATACCTGCTAATGACCCCAGGTTCTCAGCTGCAGGATTCTAAAGTGTCGGGTATATATAAATAGCAGTATATAGTTAAACTCTTTGGTGAGCATGTCCTCGGAGCGGACCTAGGCAGCTCCTGATAAAGGTTTCCCAGCAACCATCGTCGATGGTTTTCTAGTTCTGGTGTTCCTCCATATGTGCCCTCCCACAGATTTTAGGCTGCAAAGCTTACACCGATTTTGCGGTAATATATGTAGGTACATGTAGTACTGGGGTTAGATCCTGCACACACCAGTACCCGAACCAGACAATGAATAGCATTTCTCCGTTATGGTATGGTCCTGTAAATTTCGTGGAAGACGGGCGTCTATAGGTCCTCGTAGTATACATGCATGCAGCTGAGCATGAGCTGAACTGAGTTCGAATGTTTTTCCAACTATAGCCGGAGCTGGGGGCTGTCAAACGCAAAACAGCCGTCTAATTAACCTCGGCGCTCACCCATATTGGAACAAGACACTCATCGAAAGATCATCATATGCATGTACGGTGGTGTGCATATTTCTCCTAGAAATCCCTTGCAGGGTAAACTTACCTTGGCCGGCTTAAACTTTCTCGACATGAGGTATATATAAGCCTAGACATAGAACCATTATGCCCGCATAGACGTTCGGATAGGAGGCAAGCGCGACGAGGTGAGAAAAGGAGGCGTCCCTCATCCTAAGACCCGGGTGGATCGAAACGCACAAAATTAACGTGGTACTTTAAAGCTTAATAAAACTACATCTTGCCCGGTCGAGTGCTCGGATCCCATATGCAAAAGGACGAAGTGTAGCGAATAACTGCTTTTGTATTGATGATGATGATGATGATGAGAAGAGGACAACTCTCGCTCTTCTCGGGCTAACAAATACAATCTGTTAGGTCGCGTCCTATTGCAACGAATATCACGATATTCGGCCAGCTTGGCACAATATGTAAGATACTTTCTGTTGGTAGTGTTCGAGCAACTAGTTTATGTGATATTTGTCATCCTATTAGAGCCCCAATATCACAATCTAAAATATTCTACTCAGACTAAAATATTCAAGCTTGCATTGCACAATCCTCACCAGCCTAATCCCACTAAATTTACTACCAAAGTCACCAACATCTTTACCGCCATTTTTATAGCCCTCAAGCACTGTAAATCTAATCTAATTTAAATAGAATATTGTAATTCATCTATTGAGGCTGTTTATTGGAGTGTGTTCCGGGAAACTATTGGGGGTTTCGAGAACACTGGCAACAGAACACGCCTTCTCTATCTTATTTCTGCTAGATTGCAATTATGACATATTGCGTTGCTACATTGGCAGATCGCAACCTCACAATATTTGAACTGGCGGTTGCCAGGACGCGGCATAAACACATTTTCGTTGATTCATTTCACACGAAACTTTTGCGTGGGTATAAGATGCATTTTTTGATTCGTTTCCATAGTTAGTAGAGGTGGAGGTGGGCACTTCTCTCCTCTTCCTTCTCGGCTAACTGTCTCTGAAGCCCCCTTTCCAAAGCTGGGAGACAAGATCGATACGCCTACTCTGCTTCTTCCTTTCGTTCTCCCTTATGATCTCCTCTTGTGTCAAAACCTCCTCTTGTTGATCTTGGGGATCAAAAACTTCTTCCTCATAAGCAACTCTTCACTCTACCCCCATTTTCTCTATGAATTCTTCAAATCTCTGTTCAATGATCTCCGCCTGCGTTTTTGTCTCTCGTCTGGTCTCGACTTGACCAGCATTAATGCCGGCTTCAGCTTCATGCAGAAGCTTGACTATGTCCATATGGCCACGCTCAATTGCCGCCTGTAAGGCTGTTGAAAGATCGGTTGCAGATTTGGCATTAACGTCGACTCCCGCTTCGAGGAGAAGCTTGACAATCGCAATATGACCACCCTTAACTGCCAACAGCAAGCCTCTTTGGTTTACGTAGTCTTGTAACGGTTTGCTGATACTGAAATTTATTTGTAGAAGTATCCTGACCGTAGAAATATGACCGGATGTGATGGCAAACCGCAGCAGATCCCGATAGTTTTTTAGCCATAATTCTTTTTTCTCCTCCTCAAGAGTCACCGCTTCTTGAAATAGTACGCTCAGCACATTTCATAGTATTGGAGGATCTTCATTTGTCATTATGAGTCATGGGTTCTGACTCATTCTTTCTCTGGTATTTATTAGTCATGTCTTTCTATTACTCATACGGTTATGGTTTACTATGTTCTGTGTTACCTTTCTTTAGTATAAATATGGGGCATTTCCCCTTCTCTAGTTAGTTGGAATAACACGCTCAATTACTACACTTCTCTATATACATTTTCTCTACCGCTTTCAAAAAATTTCTTCTCTCGAAGGTTCCTTCTATGTCGTCATCGAAAGTGGGCTTTCTGAAGAAGAACTCCACTAGATCAGGGTGTTGACGTTCGATAGATTGAAGAAAGGTTCCTGAATAGTTGACACTGGTCAAATGGTTTGTCGATTCGCCGCTGGGGATTTTTAAGAGCATCGAAGTAGCTGATACGTAACCCATCGACACTGCTTTCCGGAGTAGAGTATCGATTCGTACTCTTTCAGAAGTCGGTAAACACTGTAGGAAACAGGTGCCCCCATCCTCTCCTGCAAATCTATCTTCCCGGTAATGTCTTAGATCCAAATCCACATCCATGCTTAGAAACTCTCCTATCACTCCCCCAATCCAATCACATAGCAGCGGACCATGTAGCGCACTCAGTGGCTCCGGTCGATGTTTGGGATTAGGGATTAATAAACTTTGGACAAAGGCTATTCCCCCAGGGCTTACGCCCGATTCCCGTAATCGCTTTGTCGGAAACTCAAGTTCTCCGTGGCAAAACCGAGAGAGACCACCATAGTCAACATTAAAACTCTGCCTCAATGTTGATGTCGATCCCACTATAACGCCTGAAAATTCTTCAGACTCGTCATCGGATCCCTCGCTATCGAAGAAAGGTATGTATGAAGTCAAGAGCTCGTGCACCATTGCGCCAAGTGACCATATATCTAGAGCATAACCGATTTGCTTCTTCCGTTGTAAATCCCTAGGGAGAAAATGGAGTAATTCCGGAGCGCGGTATCCATCCGTGCCCTGACTTGTTTTTGGAATAGTGTTTTCCAGCTGTTTTGCAACGCCAAAATCGGCGATTTTGACCCAAATAGGCTCGAGAGAAGCAATCAGAATATTCTGTATTTCGTTAGAATAGAATTAAATGCCATGACACCTTCACGTAACCAGATTTATTCCTAGAAAGAAATTATATCGCTGGGACAGTTATTTTGGGAGTCAAACCTGAGGTTTTAAATCTCGATGACAAATTCCTTCTTTTTGGAGGACCACAAGTCCTTCTAATATTTGCCTGGTAATCTCTTTTGCATCTTCCATCGCTCCGGCTCGGTTTTGGGTCATGTAAGAATGCAAGTCTCCGTCCTTGATGTACTCCATAGCGTAGAAGATGTACTCCGAATTGTCGTACCAACCCAAAAACTTGACGAAGTGTGTACTATACTACTTAAATTTTAGAATTTTAGAATGCCATTGCAACTAGACTTTGGAGATAGAACCATATATTTACATTTGTCAACCTCAAGAGAGCAAGCAATTCTTGAGAGGGGCCCTCCTTGGGCAAGAAGTTCAAAGGTACTCGTTTGACAGCCCTCACGTGACCGGCAATCGACATAAACGCATCCTCCTCATCAAGCTTTTGCTCACATTCTTTCTTTTGCAGATACACGCTTCCATATGCTCCGCTACCAATCCTTCTCACTTGCTTCCATCTCGCAGCCTCGCCGTGTACCACAAGGCCGTCCGTGTGGAACTCGGCCGGCAGCTTGAAGTTATTGAAGTCCGAGAACGAGGCTGCCATAGATCAACGACGTTGCAGTATCGTATATATTAAAGCCTCGACTAGATTGACCCGCGAAAGTATACAGGACTGTACTTCAATATTGCTTGGGTTGGGAATGGTAGCTAGAATAATTAACTCGAACATAAACACGCGCGCAGTAGAGATACAATACCCCGCGCGATTACCTAATTTCCATTCAAGATCTGGCGAATCGCCCTGCAGTGAGAGATCTTAACAGAGCCATGCATATCATGCAGCTGACTACAGAAGGTCGATTTGGTTGTCTAGGTTGTGGCGCGTGGCGCAGGCGAATCCTTAGTTACTCATGGCTAATCGGAATATTAGCCGAATATCTTCTACTATGTACTAGAATAATGATTTTCCGAGGTTTTTGCAGTCTGATTGGTCGAGAGCGACAGGGTATTTAGTAAGCACGACACATCAAATTCACTGCAGTTACCCTGCCTGATTTGGAGCAGTTACCCTGCTTGATTTGGTGCAGTTACCCTGCCTGATTTGGTGCAGTTACCCTGCCTGATTTGGTGCAGTTACCCTGCCTGATTTGGTGCAGTTACCCTGCCTGATTTGGTGCAGTTACCCTGCCTGATTTGGTGCAGTTACCCTGCCTGATTTGGTGCAGTTACCCTGCTTGATTTGGTGCAGTTACCCTGCTTCGCTTGCGCGCGCGCTGAATTTGAGGTGTCGCGCCCGTTGCTTGCACCTTTGAGGTACGGTGCGAGTGCTGTGTGCCCGGTTGCGGAGTTGCGGAAACTCAGCAAAAAAAGTACGTTTTCGACCCTGAAAATAACCCCAGGTGCGTCAAACCCCCGGAGCCCTCCTATTTTGCACCGGTGGGTCTATGAGAGCTGGGTGACAACAACAAAAAAGTCTACTGAATGATAGACCATCCTCTCAAGCTAAAAAAATATATTTGATTAAATATTCTGCTCTCTGACAAAAAACACAAATTTTTGTAACAGTTCTACTGTTACTTTTGGTTGATCATATTCGCATATTGTTCTCACCCAGTTCTCACCCAGCTCTATCCGTATCAGCAATAATCGATAATTTGTATATCCCAATCCCGACTCTTGGTTTCGGTTCAAATCTGATTATTGTTTGATATATATCATACAAAATCCTCTACAATATTACGCATACACATACACACCCACAGATACAATAAGAATTTGTTCGAAATCATGTCTACAATTAAATGCACAAGTTGCAAACGGGAAAAACCGAGGGCTGAATATGATCTTGATAGACATGGCCGGCCCCGTAAATCTTGCCAAGCATGCTTGGTAGGTATTGAAATCCTTGCTCGATTTGTCCCCGTTACTAAAGCTTTTCTGTCTTATAGTTACAATCACGGGCACGAGAACGACGGAGAGCAGAAGTCAGACGAATTCAAAATGCAGATAATGAAGAGGTAAGTCCAAGTCATTGACTCTATTTAACAAACATTTCCATGTCCCGGTTCTAAAGATACTTTAATAGCCGATGAATCGTCCGGAGCGTATCGTAAAGCTTTTAGCATTTCAATCTTCGCGTTCCCGTTGGAGGGAGTTAGAGGTCGGAAGAATGACAGTGGTTTGTCCTTCATGCGATGCTTTGCATTGGATCAATGAGCGTGTAAATGGCAGTTCAATTAGGTCACCACGATTCGAAAACTGTTGTAAGAAAGGTGACGTTGAGTTGCCGGCCTTAGAACAAGTCCCCGACTATCTCAAATATTTACTTGAATCAACCGATACTGTAGGCAAGCAGTTCCGCACTCGGATAAGGGAGTACAATTCGGCGTTAACCTTCACTTCTGTTAAATACAACTCTGATGAACGCATTTCTGCACAAGCTAGGGGTGTTACATGCTTTCAAATCCATGGCGAGCTGTATCATCTTCAAGGGCCGTTGACTGCGGCAGCAAACGATGCTCCCACTTTTGCTCAATTGTATTTCTATGACCCACTCTACGCAGCCCAGCTGAGACAACAAAGGCATCCCAACCTAGATCTTACTGTCTTACAACGGTTGACAAATGAACTAAATACTGTCAATCCTTTCATTCCTTTATACAAGACTGCAAAGGAACGGTTGGACGATGCGTCTCCGGAAAATGGTGATGTACGCGTACTACTCAACCCTCAGCTACGGTTGGTAATGGAGAGTGGAGCAGATAAACGTCGACACAATTTGCCTACCAGCAATGAAGTTGCTGCGATTATCCCAGACGAATACGGTGAAGCAGGATTCAGGGATATTGTTCTGGCTCACAGGAATCCAGATGCCAACAGGCTGTTTAGTGTCATTGATCCTAACCATGCCGCGTATATGCCATTGCATTATGTTCTACTATTCCCTAGCGGAGAACGTGGTTGGCACTGGGGGTTGCGATTGCGAGATGAGCTGAACAGAAGAAAGAATTTGAGGTTGCAACAGCGTGAGTTTTATCGGTATGTTACAATACCCTTTGGCAGAAATACTTTTTGATATGGCTGACTTTTTGATTACCAATGCCATATAGATATCGAATACATACAAGGACCACTGAACCCATGACTTTGTTCCTATCGCAACGCCTATTTCAGCAGTATTTGGTTGATGCTTGGGCTGTATGTGATCAGAATAAATTGAATTGGCTTCGATTGAATCAGGCAAATATTCGGGCTGATCTGTATAATGGACTGGCGGATAATATACGGCAAGAGGACTTCAACCCGGAGCAAACTGGGAAACGTATCATCCTACCACGAAGCTATACAGGTGGAGACCGGTACATGCTGCAGTTGTTCCAGGATTCCATGGCTATAGTTCGTCATTTGGGGCGTCCCTCACTATTTGTTACTTTTACAGCGAATCTGTAACGGCAGCCATGTGGTTTGGTTATGCGAGGTGTGAGGGTACGAAGAGGAAGGGTTATATAGTGTGGTTAGGATTTGTATAGCGGGTTTCTATTATGTTCTTTCTGTTTCTGTTACGCGAGGGTATGAGTCAGCATTGGGATAGGGTATGGATATATAAGGGAGGCGTTGTCTTATGATTTCTTGTTTCTCTTTCTTTCTCTTTTCTCTTTATGCAACCTCTGTACTTTACAGTTACGAATACTATTTGGTTCGCGCTACGTCATAGGGTTTACCCGGTATACTAGACCAGGTACAACCACCCATAGTCCATAGTCCACAGTTTCCATTCTTGCCTTAGGTCTACCCTTCGGCCCCATAGTCCATAGTCCACGTACCCGCCTTGGTAGCATACCTCGGTCTCATAGTCCATAGTCCACGAACCTCCTACGTCCACGTCTTCGCCTCGGTTGTATTCCTTGGCTTCATAGTTCCTACGCCCACAGTCCCCGTTACACTTAGGTTGCATCCTCTACAGCCAACCGATACAACACTACCTTGCTTAGCTCTGGTCGCGACTATGTCCGACACCAATCAGGATACGCTGTTGCAGCGTCTTTCAGAATTTCTGACCACCTATGGTCGCCTCCCAGCCGATATAGACTTCGGCGAAGAACTTACGGAGGCTCATGGTCTTATCGCTGAGTGTTTGGAGGCTCTCACCAAGCCTCTTGACACCCCCGCACCACTAGAACTCGTTATCGATACGGCTCAGGAAGAAGTCATTGCCAGCCTCACCACAGAACTAGAAGCAGCCAACGAAAAGGCTGCCGATTTTTGGCAAACCTTGTGCGATAACCAGGAAGATTCTACCGAGATCATCCGAGGTCGCGACGAGGTTATCGTTGCTTTGAAGATTGAGCTGGAGGAATCGAAGGCTGAAGAAGAAGAGCTTCGGTTCCGTCTGGCACTACACCAGGAAAGTCTTGCCATTGCCGACGAGAACCTCACTGAGGTTGAAGATGAGATTCTTCACATCACCTCTGTTGCAAAGGCCTGGGAGGCCCAAGCCAATGCCACCATTGCTGACCTTCGTTCCCGTGTCTCCGCTTCTGCCACCACAGTCAAACCCCCACGTCACCATATCCCCGCTAAGTCTCGTTACCTCACCCCTCGCTCCAAAGATCCCCGTACCATCAGCAATTGGCGAGAAAAGCCAATTGAACAAGTGTCTCCAAAGCCGGCGCTAAAAGGTCAGCCCCTTTGGTAAAAAATGGCAAACCAAAGGGGCTAGCCCCGCCACCAGTCTCTGTTATTTCTGCTGCTGCCGTGTCTGAGGACAAGATGTCCGAAGACCCTCTTGTCGTTACCTGCTCGGTTTCTCAGAATTCTGACTCTTTTATTCCTACCTACGCTCTCATTGATACTGGAGCATCAGGATATGCTTTTATCGATGAATCTTTTGTACGCCACAATAATCTTACAATGATCCGCCTTAAAGTACCTCGTCAGGTAGATGTTATGGATGGGAGGCCTATTGAATCAGGAAAGATTACCTATATTGTCAATGTGTTGCTGGATATCCATGGTCATCGGGAAACTGCATCATGTTTTGTAACGAAACTGGGTCACTATCCAATTGTGATGGGAATACCTTGGATGCGACGTCACGATGTTACGATTCGGCCAAAGGAAAATTTACTTGTTTTTGACTCTCGAAACTGTTGTCAACACTGTTCACTCAGTGGAACGACAGTCACTGTCCATGGAATATCGATCCCTCTACCAGAATATCATACTGTTGTCGCTTCAGCAGTTGAGAAATCCACCGTCGACGTCAAGCAACTAGTACCAAAAGAGTTCCACCATCGTCTCCATATGTTCCAAGAATATGATGCTTCAGTCCTTCCACCACATCGGCCGTTACATGATATTGAGATCGTATTGGAGGAAGGTAAACGACCACCGTACGGACCGATATATGGATTATCCCAGATTGAATTGAAAGCACTACGAGAATACCTTGACGAAAATCTACCTAAGGGATTCATTCGAGCCAGTGAGTCGCCAGCGGGAGCACCCATACTATTCGTAAAGAAAAGTGATGGGACCCTTCGGCTTTGTGTGGATTATAGAGGCCTTAATGCAATTACGATTAAGAATCGCTATCCGTTACCATTGTTAAAAGAAACCCTGGCCAAGCTATCAAAAGCGCAATATTATACCAAGCTGGACCTACGTTGGGGATATAACCAAATCAGGGTCGCCGAGGGAGACGAATGGAAGACGGCGTTCAGGACTCGTTATGGACATTTCGAGTATACTGTAATGCCGTTTGGATTAGCTAATGCCCCTGCTACGTTCCAACATTGGATCAATGATATTTTACGACCATATCTCGACCAATTTGTGACAGCATACCTAGATGACATTCTTATCTACTCGGAAACCCTGGCAGAACACAAAGAGCATATTCAAAAGGTTTTGAAGGTACTTGATGAGAATCATGTTCACCTTAAGCCTGAGAAATGTGAATTTATGGTCCAAGAAACGAAGTATCTCGGCCTTATTCTCACCCCGGATGGGAATAGAATGGATCCGAAGAAAGTTGTCGATGTTTTGGAATGGTCTATACCAAGGAATCTCCATGATGTTCAAGTATTTCTGGGATTTGCGAATTTCTATCGGCGTTTTATTTTAGGATATTCAAAAATTGTTGCTCCGCTTACGGCTTTGACCAAGAAAAATGTTAAATTCGAATGGACGGATGAGAGGGAGGAGGCATTTCAGACATTGAAAAAGATGTTCACAACGGCACCCATACTAATGCACTTTGATCCGGATCGGAAAATCGTGGTAGAAACCGATGCATCCGACTATGTTTCTGCTGGAATCCTGTCCCAACGTGACGACGAAGGAATTCTACATCCAGTCGCTTTCTTCTCTAAGAAACATTCCCCTGCGGAATGTAACTATGAGATCTATGACAAAGAACTCCTGGCAATTGTACGATGTTTTGAGGAATGGCGACATCATTTGGAAGGGGCACAATTCCCAATCGAAGTCCTCAGCGATCATAGGAACCTCGAATATTTTATGTCAACAAAGCTATTAAACCGTCGACAAGCCCGTTGGTCGGAATTTCTTTCACGTTTCGATTTCGTTATTCAATTTAGACCAGGGAAACAAGGGGTAAAGCCGGATGCATAGACTAGGAGGTCAGGTGACCTACCTAAGGAGGGGGATGAACGGTTGACGCATCAAAGCCAGGTGGTTTTGAAGCGAAAAAATTTGGATTTAAAGCTAAGTTTGTTCGCGGGTTCTTTTTCAAATGAATCCGCTGAAGGAATGTCCACTGTAGAAGAGTTGTTTTCAAATGCTTACCAAGTTGACAGTTTTCCGAACAAAGTACTTGTGATGCTTCGGAACGGTGTCCGTCATTCGAATAAGATCTCGCTTGCCGAATGCACGGAAGATAATAACGGTCGGCTACTTTATCGTGGCGCACTCTATGTACCGGATAACAACGATCTTTGGCTAAGACTCCTAAAGGAATATCATGATAAACCATCGGCAGGCCATCCAGGTAGAGCGAAGACTTTGGAACTCCTGAATCGAGAGTACTACTGGCCACAGATGCGAAAATATGTCGACCAGTACGTTAGGAATTGCAATGTGTGTGCCCGTAGCAAGGCACCACGCAATGCACCTTATGGAGTACTCCACCCTATGCCGATACCTGATGGACCATGGACGGATGTGTCGATGGATTTTGTTACAGATCTTCCCGAAAGCGATGGATATAATGCAATCTTAGTCGTGGTGGATAGGCTAACGAAAATGCGGCATCTAATACCAACGACTAAGGAGGCGGATTCCAAGGAAGTAGCTAGGCTGTATATCGATAATGTTTGGAAGCTACATGGGCTACCGGAAACTATGGTATCCGATCGAGGAACACAATTTGTTGCGGAGTTTTGGAGGTCCCTTTGTGATCGCCTAGAAATATCGCCAAAGTTCTCTACCGCGTTTCACCCCCAAACGGATGGACAGACGGAAAGGATCAATGCTGTGATGGAACAATACCTTCGAAGTTATGTTTCTTATCAACAGGACGACTGGGTTCGATGGTTGCCAATGGCCGAGTTTGCAACAAATAACCATGCTTCTGAAACGACGAGAATCTCTCCATTTTACGCCAACTCAGGGAGGAATCCAAGAATGACTTTTGGTCCTTTGCAACATGGTAGGACGACAGCGGAGGATCAGGCCAATGGTATTGCAAGGGAGATGAAGGATATATTGGATTTTCTAAAGGATGAATTATTTCGAGTGCAAAGGATTCAAGAAGAATCCGCCAATATACGTCGGACTCCAGCACCTCACTATCGTGTGGGAGATAAAGTTTTCTTATCGACCAGCCATGTCCTCACCAAACGACCATCGAAGAAACTTGATTGGAAACGCATTGGATCGTATGTCGTGAAACGGATCGTTAATCCTTACGCCTATGAGTTAGAACTCCCTCGTTCTATGAAAATTCATCCCGTATTCCATGTCTCTTTATTGTCGTCTGCAGCAAATGATCCTTTACCAGGACAATAACAGTTACCACCACTGCCGGTCGAAGTTGAAGGACAAGAGGAGTGGGAAGTTGAGGATATTTTGGATTCCAGGGATCGTCGGGGAAGATTTGAATACTTGGTTAAGTATGCCGGTTATGACGAAGCTTCGTGGCAGCTATTGTCGGATGTCGAACATTCGCCCGATATTGTCAAATGATTTCACAAACGATATCCACGGAAGCCTAAGCCTACCAGGAGGTAGGCCGTAGAGGGGGGAGTGGTCTATAACGGCAGCCATGTGGTTTGGTTATGCGAGGTGTGAGGGTACGAAGAGGAAGGGTTATATAGTGTGGTTAGGATTTGTATAGCGGGTTTCTATTATGTTCTTTCTGTTTCTGTTACGCGAGGGTATGAGTCAGCATTGGGATAGGGTATGGATATATAAGGGAGGCGTTGTCTTATGATTTCTTGTTTCTCTTTCTTTCTCTTTTCTCTTTATGCAACCTCTGTACTTTACAGTTACGAATACTATTTGGTTCGCGCTACGTCATAGGGTTTACCCGGTATACTAGACCAGGTACAACCACCCATAGTCCATAGTCCACAGTTTCCATTCTTGCCTTAGGTCTACCCTTCGGCCCCATAGTCCATAGTCCACGTACCCGCCTTGGTAGCATACCTCGGTCCCATAGTCCATAGTCCACGAACCTCCTACGTCCACGTCTTCGCCTCGGTTGTATTCCTTGGCTTCATAGTTCCTACGCCCACAGTCCCCGTTACAGAATCCGAAGTGGGAAGAGATTACTGTGGAGTTACTACCGGGACAAACTGCGGTTGATAGGCCAGACTTGGTTGCGAGGGTATTTCATCTTAAGCAACAACAACTCCTCCAAGAAATAAAGCGTAAACATATCTTCGGTCGCTATCTTGGCTCTGTCTGGACCATAGAATACCAGAAGAGGGGGCTGCCACATATGCATCTACTGGTCTTTCTTCATCCCGATGATCGTTTTCTGACCGGGGAGAAAATGGATGAGATTGTGTGTGCAGAGTTGCCAGACCCTGCAACTGATCCTACTGGGGAGCTGTAACGGCAGCTACGTATTTCGGCTAGGTGATGAACTGAGATGAGGGAAGGAGGTATCGTGCAGTGGAATTAGGATTTGTAATGGGGATTTCTGTTATGTTCTTTGGGTTTCTGTTACGCGAAGGTATTAGTCATCGTTGGATTATGGATGGATATATAAGGGGGCGTTGTCTTGTGCTTTTGTCTGTTTTCCTTCTTCTCTTTCTTCTTTACGCAACCTCTGTATTTTATTCCACGAATACTATTCTTTGTTCGCACTACGTCATAGGGCTCCAACCGGTTTATCATACCAGGTAGAGCCACCCATAGTCCATAGTCAAAGTATACCTTTACGTCTACGTCCACGTCTACGTCACTACCTAGGTTGTATTCCTTGGCACCACAGTCTATCGCCTATAGTCCCCGTGATACGTAGGTTGCGTCCTCTATCGCCAACCAATACAACACCATAGCCTACAATGTCGGAACATGCCCATGTCGATTATCAACAACTCAACGATAACCTCCAAAGATTTTTTGAAGCGCATCCACAGGTCGATCATGTTGTCGGAGCTGAAGCTTATGCGCTTCTTCAACAGTGTCAAAATGGTCTTACTCAATATGCAACGGATTTACAGGAGATAGAAGCGGAGGCTGAGAGGGCAAGAAGGATATTTGAACGAGATCTTACTGCTGCCCGAGCTCAACAAACTGCTGTTGAGGTTGTGGCCCCTGACGAAGAACCTATTGGAAACAACGCTCCACCTGTACCTCCAGCGCCACCAGTTACAGGTACCACCTATCGGTCGGAGAAACTCCCAGATCCCGATGTGTTTAGGGGGGATCGTGATCGAGAAAGACTACACTTATTCAAGCAACAAATGAAAATTAAGTTACTGGGAAATATCGATCGCTATCCTACACTACAGTCTAAGTTATCGTACGCGTTCAGCAGATTGGAAGGTGCTGCTGCCAATCAGTTTTTACAGTACATGGGAGAAGAAGGTATTGCCCTACCTTCTATGACACGGTTTTATGAGATTCTGGATACAGCTTTTGGAGACCCCGATCGAATGCGGACAGCTAGAAGAAATCTTCGGAACATCAGACAACGCACTCGAACCTTTGCCGATTATTTTGCTGAGTTTCAACGGTATGCTGCTGAGTCGGGTATGGATGAAGTCTCTCGGATTGAGGCTTTGATGGAAGGAATTAATGGGGAACTGGACGAATCAATGATACACCATGAGACTCCTGCAACGGTAGATGGTTGTGCAACACTCTTGCAACGGTTGGATAACCGACGACGGGCGGCGGAAGCTAAGCGAGGTAGTAAAAAACCTTGGACTACTACTGCGACCCCGGCTCTGCGTCCTCCACCAACAAATCCTGTTCCTGCTCCCCGTCCTGCTGCCCCTGCTGCCAACCCACCTGCCACTGAGAATCACCCCTCGTTCCGTCCTGGAGGTGATGTACCCATGGACCTGTCTGGAGGACGTCGTCGCCCTACCCCTGCCGAAAGAAACGCCCGATTAGCTGAGGGCCGATGTTTCTATTGCGGAGGTGTCGGGCATATGGTTAGAAACTGCCCCCAAGCGAGGGCAACTGGAAATCAACCAAGGAGGCCTGTGATGAGAGGAGCGGCGTTGACAGTGGAAGAAAACGATGGAAGCGATAATGAGTCGGCAAAAGATTTGTCCCTGCACTAAGTGGCTTAGCCCAGGGACCGTTTAAGGATTTTTTTAAGATGTGTATTTCTGGTTTTTCGGTATCAGAGGAGGAAATGGATGGAAATCAACTTGTAGTAACTTGTTCGATTTCACAGAATAAAAATTCGTTTATACCTACCTACGCCCTTATTGATACCGGAGCATCAGGATATGCTTTTATTGATGAATCCTTTGCACGCCACAACAATCTTACAATGACCCCCCTTAAAATACCTCGCCATGTAGACGTTATAGACGGAAGGCCTATTAAGTCAGGAAAAATTACCCATATTGTCGATGTCTCGCTAGACATTCATGGTCATCGGGAAACGGCGCCATGTTTTGTAACGAAGTTAGGACACTATCCGATTGTGATGGGGATACCTTGGATGCGACGACATGATGTTACGATTCGACCAAAAGAAAATCTACTTGTTTTTGACTCTCGAAGCTGTTGTCAACACTGTTCACTCAGTGGAACTGCAGTTATTGTTCATGGTATCTCAATCCCCTTACCGGAACACCATACAGTCATCGTTTCAGCAACCGAGAAATCCACTATCGATATCGAACAATTAGTACCGAAAGAATTTCACCATCGTCTTCACATGTTTAAAGAATATGATGCTTCAATTCTCCCACCACATCGACCATCCCATGACATCGAGATAGTATTAGAGGAAGGCAAACGACCACCATATGGACCTATATATGGATTATCTCAAATTGAGTTAAAAGCACTACGAGAATATCTTGATGAAAATTTACCCAAAGGATTTATTCGAGCCAGTGAATCACCAGCGGGAGCACCCATACTGTTTGTGAAGAAAAGCGATGGAACCCTTCGACTTTGTGTTGACTATCGAGGCCTAAATGCGATTACAATCAAAAATCGATATCCATTACCATTGTTGAAAGAAACCCTGGCTAAGTTGTCAAGAGCACAATACTACACTAAGTTGGATTTACGATGGGGATATAATCAAATCAGGATAGCGGAAGGAGATGAATGGAAAACAGCATTCCGGACTCGATATGGACATTTCGAATATACAGTAATGCCGTTTGGATTAGCTAATGCCCCTGCCACATTTCAGCATTGGATCAATGATATTCTACGTCCCTACCTCGATCAATTCGTAACAGCATACTTAGACGATATCCTTATCTATTCCGAGACCCTATCAGAACATAAAGAACATATTCAGAAGGTTCTAAAGGTACTTGATGAAAATCATGTTCACCTTAAACCTGAAAAATGTGAATTTATGGTTCAGGAAACAAAATATCTTGGTTTAATCCTTACTCCAAATGGGAATAGAATGGATCCAAAGAAAGTTATCGATGTTTTGGAATGGACTACACCGACAAACCTTCGTGATGTTCAAGTATTCCTAGGATTTGCAAATTTCTACCGACGGTTTATTTTGGGATATTCGAAAATTGTTGCCCCTCTTACAGCCTTGACAAAGAAAAATGTTAAATTTGAATGGACGGATGAAAGGGAGGAAGCATTTCAGACTTTGAAAAAGATGTTTACAACGGCACCGATACTAGCTCATTTTAATCCAGATCGAAAAATTGTGATAGAAACTGATGCATCCGACTATGTTTCAGCAGGAATCCTATCTCAACGTGACAACGAAGGAATCCTACATCCAGTTGCTTTCTTTTCTAAGAAACACTCTCCCGCAGAATGCAACTACGAAATCTATGACAAAGAACTTTTAGCAATTATACGATGTTTTGAAGAATGGCGACATCATCTGGAGGGAGCTCAATTTCCAATTAAAGTTCTTAGCGACCATCGGAATCTTGAGTATTTTATGACAACAAAATTGTTAAATCGTCGACAAGCCCGTTGGTCCGAATTTCTTTCACGCTTCGATTTCGTTATACAATTTCGGCCAGGAAAACAAGGAACAAAACCAGATGCATTGACTAGGAGGTCAGGTGACCTACCTAAAGAGGGGGATGAACGGTTAACGCATCAGAGTCAAGTGATTCTGAAGCGAAAAAATTTGGATACCAAGCTAAGTTTGTTCGCGGGTTCTTTGTCAAATGAATCCGCTGAAGGAGCGTCCACTGTAGAGGAGTTATTTTCAAAAGCTTACCAAGTGGATAGTTTCCCAAACAAGGTCCTCAATATGCTTCGGAATGGCACACGCCACTCAAACAAAATCTCACTTGCTGAATGTATGGAAGATAACAACGGTCGGCTGATTTATCGAGGCATGCTATATGTACCAGACGACGATGACCTTCGACTAAGGCTTTTAAAAGAATATCATGACAAACCATCTGCAGGACATCCGGGTAGAGCGAAGACTCTGGAGCTCCTAAGTCGAGAATATTACTGGCCACAGATGCGGAAGTTTGTCGATCAGTATATTAGGAATTGCAATGTGTGCACCCGTAGCAAGGCATCACACAATGCACCTT